TTGCCTCTGGATTGTTATTTCCTGCTGTGAGCACACTGCAATTGCTGCTGGACTGGGTGCCACAGAGCCCAGATCCAAGGGCAGCCCTTGCAAGCAAACAGCTCACAGAGGCCAGGGCAGGGACTGTTCTCTCAGCTTCCAGAGGAAAATGTGAACCGTGCAAATTGCCTGCACTTGCAAAAGAGTCTGTGACCGAGCCAAGTGTTTATTCCAGGCCCTGTGCAGCCCTGTGCAATACTTCCGCCTCACAGCCCCTTTCCTTACAGGCAGTTCTTCGGCACTGACCCATCTGCAGGAGGTCTGGGGGCTCTGGCCACACGTGCTGCACGTTCCTCTCCTCGTGTGCTGCGTGAACTGTGAGACAGCCTCTGGGAGCAGGCGCAACAGGTACCAGCAAACCGGGAGCACAGCGCTTTCCTTCTTACCTCGTCCTTTCCAACCCCAAATGATACAGGATTTGTCTGGGGCAGACTGTAAGATATAATAATGTTTGTGGCTCACTACATAAGGTGATGTAACTTTTTTACCTGTGTTCAAAGTTAAGTGCCTTGTTCTGATAGCAGAGGAATGGAAAACCAGAAAAGAATACCCAGATTTATCCTGATTAGACTGCTGCCTGTCCAGCATTTTCAGCTTGACCACAGTCATGCTAACATTTCTCAAACAAATGGAAGTAAATTTTGGCAGCCAGGAACATTCATTGGTGCATGTTTAAGGTCTGAAGAAAGTCACCAACCTTTGATGCTTGGTTTAGTATCAGCTCTAGTGCTCAATCCTGAGCTGTATTTTAGAGAAAGTCCTGGTAATACATGACAATGCTGACATTATACCATGGGCACACTGGTTTCTTACTTGTTATTCTTCTTCTTTGGCAGATAAAATAGTTATTATTGTTGTTGTTATTATTATTATTATTACTTATTTTTTAAGCTCACTTTTACAGGCTCTGAGACACTGTTATAGTCACCAGGGGAGGTGGGGTCTCTCTTCCATTTTCTCCTGTAAGGAATAAAAACTGGAGTCTTGGCTAGAGAGGTACCTTGACACTTCCAAACATTGCCAGTAAGGAATACTGTCCTTTCTTTCATAAAACCCCTATCAGTGTGAATATGTGAGTAATGAGCTCTGTAGACACTGGCACCTGACCAGTGGCCAGCTATGTGTAATCCTGTCAGCTTGGGAGCTCTTCTCATCTACTGCAGAAGGCCTAACAGTCACACAGAGAATTTGGGCCCACCAAGACTTTGACTGACTTTACAGTAGCCAGAACATAATTATGATTTTTGCACAGTTCCTGCAATTTTTTGGCTGGATGAACAGCAGAACCCCAGCTAGGAGAGAAAGGGACAAACCATACTGAACACCGTGGAAAACAGTCAGCATAAGGTTTGTGTTTCCCTTCACCTGTGCAGCATCTGCTGTGCTCAGTCACACAAAGCCCAGGTGGCTCCGAGATTCAGTTTGCAAATAAAAACAGTGACCCTTGCTGGAGTGAAATCTGTTTACCACAGAGGTGTGTGTTTGCAGCTGTCAGGGGCTCCCTGCTTCCTACCTGGGGAAGGGGTAACCAACAAATCCTTGCACCCAGGTTCAAGCACCTCTTCTTCAAGAGCTTCTGTCTTCCTGAGGATAACTAGGGTTCTGCTAACTCTGCCCTTACAGAGACTTCACCTCCTCAGGCCTAAGGAGCACCTTTTATAATCTAAGTTTGTTTATTTTTTTTCTAGGATAAGACAACCTCTTGTTCCTTCCTCTTGCATGCTGTTCATTATTCTCTGTGATCCTTTGCTTGCTAGCAGGACTCTGTTGGCAGTTGTCATTTCAGGGCTATCCAGCTCTACCTGTGCAATGTGTTTTTTCTCCTTTCTTTAAATGCTGCCATTTTCCTTTGTTCTCTCTCAGTGTTTTTGTCCCTTGTTACATGCAGACTGTCCCCCTGGTCACAGTTCTGTATTGTCCTTCATGAGCTGACTTCCTTAAAGAAGGAAGGTTTTAACCAGTAAGCGTTGGTGCAGACTCTCAAGGTTTAGGTTCTGTTTCTTCCTCTGCCATGGACTTCCTGTTTGACTTTAGACATGTAACTTTACATCCCTAAGCCTTTATCATCTCTGTGGAAGGGGCTGGGAGGTGATAATGCTGATTTCTCCCTGTTCTTATGCATTCTCCTAGTTTGGTTGGTAGTTCCTGGTTAGAGGAGTTTAAAAGCTAATTAGACATGATCATTATCTCTTCTTATTTTTATGTCTGTGCCACAGATAGTCCCTGCTGGGTCCTCTCTAGGTTACTGTAATACAAATAGTATGTTCTTATTTGAAATTAAAAGCATATACTGTAACCTGTTTTCTCCTTTAACAGGAACACAAAAGCAGCAACTTAGGCTGAACTGTGTTTTCTGTTTCAAGTGAGATTTTTCTATACCTTTTTCCCCAGGAAAATAGCTTTGATTAATATTTGAAGCATTATATAACACTGGAAGCCAAACAGAATAGAAAAGCTGATTGTGCAGAAATGAAAGCCAAACTACATCAAAAGGTCAGAAGGCAAATGTGCCTATGTCAAGCACTACATACCTCTTGGTTCTTGAACCTGGCAGCTGGAGGAAAATCAACATTGCAAAAAGACCAATAATCCCTGTATCAGAGCCTGTGTTTACTGGAAAACTCTTATGTAAGTGTTAACAGGTCAGGTGCAATCCCACACACTGCACACTTATGCATAGCAACATTCTAATAGGAATAAGGCAACACTGGTGGACAACAACGTGATTTTTTTCAAAAGCACTTTTGCTTGGTCACTGTAAATGGTTCCTATGAGACAAGTGCCACAATTATGATTATTGCTACCAACAACATTCGGTAAAGAAATCAAGGGTTCAGCTGGACTCTGGAGATCACACTGTTTTCATATGCTTTTAGGAAGACAGAATTCTGACTGCTGTACCTGTGTCTGTTGACTGACCAACTGTAACTGCCTCCAAATTTACTGACTCAGAATGATACATAAGGATATGAATACTGTTTATGTAAAGAGGAGCTTCTTATACATAAGCTTAAACTAGTATGTACAAATTAATAGCAACCAACTTGCATTCTTCAAATAAAATTTTAGAAAACACCCACTTGTTAACCTTGTAGAGTTCAGGCATTTGCTCTGCAACGGCACTATGCCTTGTTATTTTGGGTGAAGCACGAATGGGATCTGACCAGGAGATGTTAAACAAAAGAAGGCTATGAATGACAGATCAAGAGACTTTGTTTGTAGAGGCAGCTCTGAACAGAACAATAACCATGATTCACAAAACTGTCACTTAGCTATTCTTGTTTGCTTTCTAGGCACCACCTTATCCTGCTGTTTAAAAAGACTGCAAGGACTATAAGGATGACTTGGTTTCTTACTACAGGAAAATATGTAAAACTAAGCCTGCTACACCATGTTTCTGTTACCAGTTCCTGATGGAGAGGTATGGGGTCTTTAAGTGATGATTTGACATTATAGCAGTGCAGAAGACTAAGATTTAAGGTATCTCTGCCAATAAATATCAAGGACTAAATCACCCACTGTTCAGTGAAGTGAGACTAATATACATGTCTTTAAATATGCCCTTAAATTTTCTTGATTTCTTCAGATTTTTCAATTAAGAATCTTGATTTGGACTACTTGAAAGTTCAGCACCCAAGACAATTTGTTATCTGAGCTGGGAAAAAAATGCATAGGAACTCACTGCTCTTCTGAACCCACTGCTCTTCTGAACCCACCAACTGCCTCCTTACTGCTGATTTTGCAAGGTTTAATGTGTACTTGCTGCATTTCCATGTGGAAGTAGAATTTGAACTCCTTTGGGTTGTACATCTCACTCATAGATTCATTAGGACAATGATTCAAGAGTCCCATTCTCCGTGATCCTATTAACTTCCAATGTTTTGTGTCTGTTCAGCTGTGCACAAAGAGCTGTTCTCTGAACTGTTTTTCTGATTAAAGATTAACAATGCGATAAAAGAAGGAAACATGGGCATCCTTGGAGTTTGTTTCTTACATCAGCTGGGTTAAACCTTTACTATCGTTTCTCACTGTGTATCTTCTCTTTGTGTTTGGCAATCAAATTCTGCACAGCTCTAGCACGTTTCCCCCCGTTTAGTCAAAACAAGAGGAAAACTTTCTGCCTTTTTAAGCTTTTAACTCTTCGACCCTTGCACTAACAGCAACAGAAACCTTTAATAACTAACTTAGGGGAGCTGTCTTTAAAACTTTCTTTGCTATCTCTTAGATTAAAGAGTATTCTGTAAAAACAGTGGAAATCACTGAGGTGTACTTAACTGTATAATCACACTAATTTCTTTTGAAATGGAAGAAGCAATGTCCTTCCCAATAAACATCCTTCTTCCAAACAGACCCAGGCACGCAGCTCTGCTGTTTGCCACAAGCAGCAAACAGTGCATTACTGGATGGCATGATTGTTTCTAAATATATCATAATGTTAGATGAAACAGTTAATAGACAAATTACAATTATGGTTAATAATTTTTAGACCATTTCCCTGGCTTGTGTCTGTACAATCAATCATCCTTGGTACTTTCAGCTCCAGTAAGCTTATGTTAAATACTTCCCCTTTTATATATCCCACATCTGTACACTATTATGTCTTTTTTTTTTTTTTGTCATGCTATATAATTATAATAATTTACAGTCTGGAGTAGGATTTTAAGCGCATAGACAACACTTGAAAGCATTAAGTCTTTTAACTTAACAGAAGTTGGTTTGGTTCTGCTACAAGAATCCCTGCTGTTTAAAGAGACGATTTGTCTTCTCAAAGTCAAGGTGAGCATTGGAGGGAGAGCAAAGCCCAGCCCTCCCCGTGCCTTGGGCACAGCCCATATTTAGCTGATTGTTCATGAACAGTCCCAGTACTGTGCCCCAGACAGCTCTGCACCCTCCTCACCCTCCTCTTTGCACTGAGAAGTGGTAATTTATAGCCTGCCTAGACACCAGTCAATCAATATCCTCCACGATGATTTCCATCTGTCTTTGCTTTGCTATGCTCCCGTCTTCCCTTTGCTTTGGGCAATAAGGAAACCAGTAAACTGCATGTTCTGAGGTTCCTGGCTCTGAGGTCTGAGTAGCTTTTATATGATTGTAGAGATGGGGAGCAGAGAATTGTGGTTTTTGGGGCAAACAAGAAATCCAAGTCAGACCTGAATCCTAAATGATGTCTTCTAGAATAAGCTGCAGCTCCCATCTCAGAATCAGAGGTATGGGGGGAAAAGTAAAAAACAATCAAATAAACAAACAGAACAAAACAAAACAAAACAAAATCTAAAATATTTTAATACTATTCCTCTTTTCAAGTGATCAGACTGTATATTTTCTCCTGAGAATCTCCCAGGCCAGCACTGAAGCACTGAGTTAATTCTGAATCTGCAACTTTCAGTTGCTTAGAATAGCATCTTTCTTTTTTTAATCTCACTCATTAGTTGAAATGCTGTGTTGTTGTTTTTTTTTAATTAGGATATTTGGTGGTCTCTGAAGAAATGCTTCATCTCTGTGAAAGTGGGACACTAAAGGCACAAGTTGACAACAGCATCAGAAAATATCTCAACCATTTGGTGACTACAGCTACAGTGTTTAAAGGAGCCAGATGAATTAGAAGATGATAAAAGTAAACTCGCTTTCCCTGAAACAGGTGATTGTGTGAAGGAGGTTATCTCCTGCTGTCATTATGAAGAGGGGCAATATCTCACTGCAAAACAGGTGATGAAGGTAGCGATTGTCCCTGGTGCAAGAGCAAAGCAAAGGCGTGTGTGTTTGCAGAGCGGTGTTAAGGCACAGACACCACTCTGACAGGTGCGGTGCGAACGCGACATAGACTTGGAAACAAAAGTGAGACATTGGAGGAAAGTGAAAATGGAAAACTTTCCAGATGCCAGGTGGAAAATGATATTAAAGCTGTCAAAATAAGTCACAACAAAGACTGGGTTTTCTCATAGACTAACAGGAGTCATGTTCTGCAGAAGAATGGAGTTCTCAACCACAAGACAGAGTATCACAAATGAAACAATTATGAGCATTGGAGGTTAAACTGGGGCCTATTTGTTTCAGGGGTTTTTTTTGCTTTGGTCTCCCTCTATTTTTTCCTTTTAATTTTTTTCCTTTTCTCTTCCAAATGCACTACAGCAGTCTTGATTTACTCTGCATTTTGTGGACAGGTCAAAAATGTGTAAATAAATCACACCGTCATTTCTTATCATAGTTATCTATTCTGGGCTTAATTCCAAACCCAGTTAAATTGATGGCAATCCTTCCATTGGCATCAGAGCACTGCAATTTAGAACCTGTGATGAAGGTGCAAAGCATCACGGTAGAGGCTTGTTAAACAGCCTCTGCAGTCATCCAAAGTGATTTTCTAAAACACAGTAAGGAAAGGGAACTTAGAACTACCTTCAAGGTCAAATATGCTTTATGTACATGCTAATGGAGCATTTAAAAAAGCTCCACCTAACAAGCATTAAGTGTCCTAAATATTATAAAAGGCGTTATTCAGATTTAAGACTGACAATCTGAACAGATAAGCCAATATTTTACTCTTTTCAAAAATCAGCCGCACTGTTTATACTTGGGTAGAAAACCACAGATCAGAACAAAGTTCGCTGTGTTTCCTTAGTGCAGTCAAGGGTAGAATTTACTCTGCTGATTGAGGATTTCAGTTGTCCATGTATTCATTTTCATGCACTGGTAGATTCTTATCAGCAATTTATCTGCAATTTTGTGGCTGAATTTTGTTTCTTTATGCAACATTACTTTAGCACAAGAAAATGTGCCTACATTAAATTCCTTATATTCCTTATAAACTACTCCTAACAAACAATAATTCATACTGAATGTTTACCCCCCAAAGTATAATTATGACTTTAAAAATAAAATGGCTCTCTGTTCTTTTCATGATAGATTTTTCAGGCAGACTGTTGATGTGTTAGAAAGAACCAGACTCCCAGAGGAGTGGGTAGAAGCTTGATTGCAGCTAGAGACAGACAATGCAGCAGCAGTGGTAACTGGAGACTGTACACACAACAGGCCATCATGGCCATTACGGAGCTGTTAACCTCTAGTGTGTCAAAACCTAACCAGAAACTGGTTGAATTTGCAGCTTGCTGATCCAAGTGATTCCTTTAAATTCAACCAAAAAAATGAACTGAAGGGCTATTCTGTGTTTGAGTTATATCAGTTAATAATGGAAATAATGACAGACCTTTAGTGTAGCTGCATGGATGGTGCTGGTATTAATAATGCAGAAGTGCAAGGTAGGACAGCTCTTGGAAGCTGATGACTGTTGAAGTGCAGAAAACCTCATTAAAACGACCTAAAGAAGGGTGTATTATTATAACAACTTTTTTCCTACAGTACCCTTCAACTATAATAATTGCACAATATATGTAGCAACTTGAAAAGATTCAGAAATGTGTAAGAAGTAAAGTCTCTGGCCACAGTTACTGGCAGCATAATTATGTGAATATATTATTTACTCTGCATTGTGTTCTTTAGTTTTGAGAGCCCAGAGATTCATGGATGATGAATAATGTGGTGTCTAACTAAAATATCAGCCCTACATTGCTGGAACACATATTCAACCTCAAATAATTGCTTTGGAATTGTGTTGATTACAAATAGCAGAATAAATATGACTAACTTGCAGATGTTAAATGTAAAAAATTTGATATTATTTTTGTATTTAAGATTCTGCAGTGGATAGGAGTAGTTGTTGTCAAGGATATTTATGGGATTTTAGTTGCTCTCTCTGAGGATAAGGCCCAGTGATCTAAAATCATGCTTTTTCAAGATGTGAAGAGTTTAATTTTTCATTCTTACAACTAATTACAGTGGCCCCACTAATGTACTTTTCACAGCTACATCCTTTGCGGGAATCAGACTCACCGGCTTTTCCAATGGTGCTACACAGCCCTGCTATCCCAGGTACCCACCACAGAGAAATAGCAATAATGACCCTGACAAATTCCATGGAAAAGGGAATGTGTGGTTCCTGGGTACCCAGTGGTGTTAACTGTGCTCAGAAACACAAAATATAATGGCTTTGGGCATGACCCCACCTCATCTGAGGGTACAGCTTGAAAGGCCAGTGGGGTGTGCTGCTTTTGTGCTACGGATATTTCACAAATGCCAGTTTTACTGTGTTACTTCCACAGGCAAGAAATGCCATCAGTGGGTTTGGGGCTTTGACTAGTGTTCAGTAATTCAGTTTAACAGGATCTGGACCACACTGGGCTGCAGTCCCTTTGTAATGTACTACAATGTGAGTACCTGCAACACACTGAGCTAATATTTAGAGGTAAAGCTCCAAATCTGTCCTTTGCGCTGTAATAGAGTATTCATAGTAAGTGGACCTTATAAAACACTTGAAGGTTGGAAATCACTAGTCTAGAAGGGTATGCAAGATTCAATATTAAGTCTCTCAAATTGCACAAGTTTACCTCAAAGACATTTTTACAATGCCTTTGGAGAACTCTTTTGAACTTGCTCTCATTGAATACCCAATCCTGGCCTAAAGTACAGCGTAATGATGCTTATATATCGCTCCACTGGCTCTGCAAGCCCACTTCAGCCAGTTTTGTACAACACTTCAGCTCCCGGGTGGGAGCCGCCGCCGCAGCAGCGTCAGGCGGCCCTTCAACACCACTCAGCTGCACGGCACCCGGCTGAAGGGTTTCCGTCAGGGAAACATGGGAAGTACTCCAGAGATTTTGCAAGTGGGGAAACCAGCTGAGCTCAGCCCCGTGGTCTCCAGCCAAGTGGGAGCAGGAGGTTAAGGGCCTGCAATTAAGACCCAGAGATCTTCATTTAGAGCTGGAGGGTGGCAAAATGGCAGCTGCTCCTACAGGCCCTGCTGAGCTCTCACTGTGAGGGGACGGGCTCTTTGCTGAGCACCGGGCACCCTATGCGCAGACGGGCAAAGCTCTGCCGGTTCACCCACTTCAGGGCCTTGTGCCTCGTGGGGAATTAGAGGTGAGAACCAGCTGTCTCACACGGGAGCAGCTGCCCACGGGTGGGCTTCCCCCTGCAATTGAGGGAGCGGCGCAGGGAGGGCAGGGCCGCCGTGCCGAGGTGCTCAACGGGCCGCTGAGCCCCTTCTCCGTTGTGGAGGTGGAGGTGGAGGGCGGAGGGTGGGACCGCCCGCGGCGGGCCGTGAGGTGCCTTGTGGTGGGGGAGCTCCTCTCCTCCGGACGAGGAGCGGCGGAGGCTGAGGGGCGAGGGCCGGCCGGAGGCTGCGAGAGGCGGGGAGCGGGACGGGCAGCGTGCGGGGTCCGCTGTGCGAGACAGGGCGGGGGCTTGTCCCGCACGCCCGTGGTTTGCCCTCGTGTTTAACGTCGCCTTTCGAACAGGTTCGCTCAGCACCGTGCGAGGCCTTAGGGCTGCGGGGAAACCACGGCCGGCAGCAGAGAAGAGCGTGGCGGGGCCGCGCAAAGCCGAGCGGAGGAGCGCAGCGGTGGCAGTGACTCGAGTGCGGGCGGGGGCTCCTGTCCCCCAGAGCGGTCCCTGTCTCCTGAGGAGGGTGACAAACACGGGCCCTGCTCACAGAGTGTGTGAGGGCAGAGGAGGAGGAGGAGGGAGCCCGGCAGGCCCCTGCCCATGGCAGCGCTGGCCGGGGCAGTGGTGCTGCCGGGGCAGGGACAGGCCGTGGCACACAGCGTGTCCCAGGGCATGGCTCTCACCCTGCGGGAAGGGATCTGCGTGTTCTATGACCTAGAGCTGGCACAGGTTCATGTTCTGCAAGAAGAAGGGCAAGAAAAGAGTTCAGAAAGCAAGGCAACTGAGAAACCACCAGACATGCTCCGGATGGAGGTACAAGTGAAGATATGTTACTTGTTAGCTCCTACTGTCACACCGATCCAATTCTAAGTATCCAGTCCTTTGTACAGTTTTTTATAATCTTATCCCATTTTTTAAAAGACAAACTAAAACTTTAGACTAGATAACTAACTTGTTGAAATTTAGACAAGTTCTTAATTCAGTGCACCAGTTTGGTACTATTTGGTTTGACAGCCTCGATCTCTTAAGTAGCATTACACAATTTCCCTTCTCTATAATTCAGTTAGTTCAATACTGCAGTGTCGCTGTTAAAGTTGGGTGTGTAATATGGTTTCATTTGAAATTAATTTTATTAAAAGGACATGCAAACACTGCTGTTTATTCTGTGCCAACTATTGGTTTTATAATAAAATATTATTTTTATTCTTTTAAAATTCATGCACCACTAGATAAGTTCTGAGGTAGGTCATATTTAATTTAGCTAATGCAAGACATATCACAACCTGGTAATTGCCTTATGACAAAGAAAGCATTACAATTAGGCTGCAGAAGTCCTATATTTGATAAAAAACTGAGAGCATACTTCTTGTTTTCTTGTAAAAGGTAAATGTACTGAAGTGAAATTTAAAATCTTTTTGAAAAATTAAGATACAGGGGTTTGTGTTCTCAGTAGTGTAATCTTTACATGACACTCTGAAATTTTACATACAATTTTGAAGAGGTAGGGCTCAATTTTAGTATTTTTTCACTTCCTAGTTAAGCTCTTGTATGCTAAATGCAAATTTTTTGTTGCAGTTTTGTCCATCACATTTAAGCCTGAAAATCAAGATGAATTAGTAGCTTGTCTTTTGTTGACTGCTCAGTTGATTTGCCACTAGTGACTGTCGTTGATTGAGAAAGTTGTAAAACATTTTCTTTTTTAAATTAGATTGACAGAGATAATGATGCCATTGCATTTGAAAATAACATCCAGCAGCTGAGCCCATCTGAAGAGGGGGAAGGAAAGAAACTTTTTTCCACAGTTGGGGGAAAAAAGAGCCAAAGCTGCAAAGCCAGTGAAAATTTGTCGGAGTTGTGTAATGGAAGTAAAGAGCAGGAATATGCAACTGCATCAGAACAAACAGTTGTAAAAAATTCCAAGAATCTAAAATTTCAGGCTTGTGCACCACGTCAGAAAAAAGGTAAAATGTTAATAAGGTTTGTACTTCATTTTTAGATAATGTATGTTGGGTGAGATTTTGAAGTGAGGCTGAAATTTTATATTAAATACAGTGGTAATTGTTAAGTTTAGGTTAGGTTAAGTCTTAACATTCTGTGGAAATTTGGAAGAAGAAAAAATACCTTTCAGCCTTAAGCGTTATGAGATCTTGTTCAGGCTGATGTCAGGAGAGACATTTTGGATGGCATTTAGAAATTAATGGTCTTTTGAACAGTATGTGGTATGTGAAACCTCCAGGGAGATTTCAAAGTTAATATTGTATAAATGCCTTTGAATAAACCTAGTAATTTATTTAGTCTCTTAATTCACTCATTCAGCTTGAAAATGAGCTTTTTTGAGGGTTTATGGATGAGCTTAGAATTGTTCCACGTTGCTGGCAGAGGGTGGTCGGCAAGTATCAAACAATACCTGTCAGCAAAGCCTTTCCCAGAACCTAAATAAAAGTGACAGAAAATGGCTGATGTAAGATTTTAGAAATGTGAAAGTATGTTGCAGAAGTTAAGGACTGACTTGGAAGGGAAAAGATAAGCATCTGTTTCCCTAGAAACTGTGTGTGTGCTGTAAAAGTTGGATGACATCAGTGATGTTGAGTCTGTAAACGTGTGTTGTAGCATCTGGATGTTAAGGTATCTTGGCTGAGGTTGTTTATGGAAATTGTACAAATTGTTAATGTCCCATATTTTAGTTACAGCCCCTATACGAAGCAGATTGGAGCAGCTTTAACAAAGCCAACAATGTTCTTTTGTGTGGGCATGAATCCACAATGAATAAATGACAATAAAGTGGTTTTGTTTGCTGTTACTGAAGTGTCATCTGCACATCTCTGTGTGGTATAAAGCATTGTATAAAATGCATTTTGGTCTCAGCATGAAAAACATTACAGAGAGTGCACTTGGGAGCTGAGACAACTGTTCTGGAAAGACTCCTCAAATATGACGTATTTGCCATTTCACAGTTTCAAATCTTCTTCATAACTGAAAGTGTTGCACATTTATCTTAACTTGTTACTCTCAAAAGAAATTAATTTCTGTTGTGCCATGAACTTTATTCTATGACTTCTTGAAGCAATTGATTCTTTTTTTTTTTTTCCTCAAATTCAACTAGTAATTCTAAAGAGGCTTTTACATCATGATTTTTTTATATACACTTTACAGATTCAGGACTACCAGAAAGCTGAGAATAGCTTAAGCTGCCATTTCCAAATCTTTGAATAAGCTTCCTTAGTACTAATTACACAGTTGTCCTCAAGAAGTGTGTTGCACAGGTTGTAAGTGCCTTGATGAACCATGTCTTAATGATGGTATTGAGAGAAGAAGTCTCATCCTGTCTTGGAGGTGAGAGCTAGGTTAGGAGTTAGGTTTCCTGAGATTAGATTCTAAACTGTATCACTAACGTATAGCACTATTTTTGGGGCAAATCACTCAAGTCTTAACAAAGTCCTTTGATGTAGAAGTATGAAGTATTTTTACCTAAAGTAGAGGGACTCTGTTGAAATTGGTACTGTTTTTTGAAAATGTAAAGTCATTATTTTGTGGCTTGTACAGTCTAAATGTGTCTTTGTCCAACAGGAGAAAAAGAAGGTTTCAGCTGTTGTTTCTGCACATTCACCTCAGCCAGATTGTCAAATCTGAAGCGTCACTTGAAAACCCATTCTGATGAGAAACGTTACTTGTGTCACCTCTGCCCGAAGGCTTTTCGTACAGCAACTCTCCTGCACAACCATGTGAACACACATACAGGTATCTAATGCTTGAAAATACTTCATTTTACACACTGTCTGCAAAATTGAATTAACAGGCAAATGACTTTGCCTTAGAGCTGTGATCATTTTGTACTTAGAAGTTTCTCTTATTTTGTTTGGTGTTCCATGCTGAAAAGACATTGTCTGTTGTTAGTAACTCTCTGTGTATGTGTTTGTTTATTTTATTAAATACCATTCTAAAAATTTTTGGCAAGTGAATAGTGACTTCAGTTGTGCCTGATTCCTATATGCATAGTGGAATGTTCTGTGATGTTTTCATTTTGCTGTATAAACATATGAAGCAAAGTGATAAATTGTGTTTATTATAAACTTATATTGTACATATATATTTAAGAAATTCTTTACTGTGAGAAGGGTGAGGCACTGGAGCACATTGTTCAGAGAACCTGTGGATGCCCCATCCCTGGAAATGTTCAAGGTCAGGTTGGATGGGGCATTGAGCAACCTGATCTAGTGGAGGGAATTTGGTACAAGATGGTCTTTAAGGTCTCTTCCAACCCAAACCATTCTGTGATTTAATGTATATAAAAAATCAGAAAATCGGGAAAGGGTCTATTAAAAAATTGTGCATGTTGGTGTTAAATAAAATTCTAATGGTGTGTTCTTGCAGGGACCAAACCCTATAAATGCAGTGAGTGTGATACAGCATTTGTGACCAGGGGTGAGCTTTCCCGACACAGGCGGTACAAACACACCTTAGAAAAACCTTTCAAGTGCACAATATGTGAATACTCCAGTGTAGAAGTAAGTACAATCATTTGGCATTTTAAAACTAGTTTGAGGACATTTTCTTTTTTTATTATGCTGAAACTGCTACCAGACAATGTGTTGGTGTGAATTTGGTCCTCTTCCTTTACACTTCATGGTATATACTGTGGGGCAATACTAGATGATGTCTAAAACAAAGGTCATGTGTTGTGTTTATATACTTGATGATGTTTGGTTTTCTTTCCAGAACTGAAATTTTCTTAATCAAGAAATAAAAAACTGAGAGTCTGCTTAAGGGTTCACTTGGAAAAAACAGGCTTTCAGAAATGCACCTGTGATTGAATCACAGTCACCTCTGATTGAATCACTGTCACAGTTTAGTGGATATTCAGTATCTGAATTTTTTATGTGCTGTGTCCAGATCTGAAGGTGTAAGCAAGCCTTAACTTTATTCCACACACCTTACCTTATTGATTAGATTTTGGATAGCTTCCATCTTTAAAAACCCTGGCAGTTTATTTTAAATTATTCTGTTCTTTCCCTTGTTTCAATAAGGAACTATTCAGCACTCGTTGCTCTTCCAGAACTCTCATTCCTGTGAGCTTTACCTGAATGAGGAAAGCAGAAGGAGCTCTCTAGTACTGCCATGCAAATTGTTTGACTTTTGTATAGCAAAGGTTGGCAGTCATGTTTAATTTTATTTGAATAGTGTTGTAGATTTGAGTGGATCTGTCAGTGAATTCCTTAAATATGTTTATAAACAGAGGAATTGAACATTTGGTAACTCCCATTTGCATATCTGCAATATTTATGTAGAACAGATCAGAACAGTATAAAAAAGTAGAATGAAATAAACTTTGCAGCATTGGGACTTGAAGGTGAATAGACTTTGGTTAATGAGTTTGGTCTTTCATTTATTTTCCTAAGTATTTTCAAAGAATTTTATGTCTGGTATGTCCAAGTAGTGTGAGAGTAGTAGGTATCCTCTTTATAAAATGCTAGCTTTTCTGTTCTTACTATAAAATTTCTTCTGATGTGGACACTAAATATGGAAATAAGACCATTTGGGGAAAGAGTAAAGTGTTACCTAAAACCACAACAGGCTGATTGTGCAGGAAAAATGGGGAGGGGGGGAATATGGATGTGAGAGTGCTAATTTTGGGATTAATGCAATATTTTAAATTGCATTGGGTGTATTATGTAAAATTGCTTATATTTTAATTTGATTATGTCTCTGATGTAGGTGTTACTTTAGCAAATCTCTGATTTTTATGTTAGGCCAGCAAAATGAGACGACACATTCGTTCCCACACAGGAGAGCGTCCCTATCCCTGTGACCTTTGCAGTTATGCCAGCAAAGATGCCTATAAACTGAAAAGGCACATGTTAACTCATACAGGTAGGACTCTGCAATGATCAAGTCTATGGCCTTAGGCCCTGAGCATTCATTGGGTTAGAATGATCTAATTTCAGACTCTAAATTAGTCCTTTTTTAATTTGTGGTTTTGAGTAAAAACGTGTGAAAAACATGTTCTCTTTAAATGTTCTGGATTTGGCTATTGGAGATCTAGCTGTACAGTGCTATTAGTTACAGTCTTGCTGCTCTTCCCAAACTTCTTTTATATTAGAAAAATATTTCCTTTATGTGCTGTTGTTTTCTGTGGATCAAGTTGTCACTTTTATTTCTGGATTATTTGATTTTATATGGAGCGTGTCTGATGGGAGATTTTTAAATGTCTGTTCAAAACATGGACATTTCTGTGGCTTCAGACTGGTAGCAACTAATTTGGTCAAAAGGATTAAATTGCTTAAACACTGAAAGGAGTGTGTTCCAGTCACAGCTCTGTAATGTGCAAGTCTTCTGAGAAGGCAGTTGGTATCTATCCTGTATTTCAGGGTTTAACTTAGTTATGATATATCATGTGTGTTATCGTTAATGTTTTAGTTTGTTTCAGAGTGTGACAGTGTGGTTTGAATCAAATCTTCCAAATATCCCCACTTATCTCTCATTGGTTCATATCTTGAGACAATTTTTGACTTGTAGATTCTGGAAGCCCAAATTTTGTGTTGTAATCAGTTATCTAAACTTATGGAAACTTATTTAGCCATTTGTGCATTGTCAACTAATAGTAACTTTTGGTCGGTGTGGAGACTGTTGCTGTTAGAACATGTGGAGATCTCTGGGAATTTGCACTTGTATCAAATGACCAGACCTTCTAAGCAGATGTTATTTTAATATCTTTTTAATAGGGGAGAAACGCTATGAATGTTGTGTTTGCCGGGCCAGATTCACTCAAAGTGGTACCATGAAAATCCATATGTTACAGAAGCACGGAGAAAATGTCCCAAAACACCAGTGTCCACATTGCAGTACCCTTATTTCCCGAAAAAGTGATTTGGGTGAGTTTAAAGGAAAAAACTGAAAATGAAACTTAGAGATAAGTAAAGGTGAAATATCTCATCTTCACAAAATTTCACCAAATATGTTATGTTTGACTTCATATGATCACAAAATATTTCTATGGAAAATGTATTTATGTTTTACAGGTAAGTTCCTCCTGCAAGGAGATGTGGTGACATCTTGTGGTTGATGTTTTAATTTGTTTAAAATGCAAAGTAGCAAAGATTCAGCTTTTTCTTTCACTCGATACCTGTGGCACTGTGACCATCTGTCTTTCAGTAGAAATATTTGAGGCAATAGAGCTGACCAGTAACTACAAAACCTATATAAAATATTAAGTTTCCAGAAATATATGAGAAAGCTATATTAAAGAAATACTTAGACATACAAAATGCCTTTAGAATCTATTTATGTTTTCAAATAAAGATCCAACTGAAATATGATAAATATTTGAACGTAGAAGTGGAATTATTATTTACATACATAGAGTCTCTTCATGTATTTTTGCAGTGTTCACTTTTATGTTGTAAATACTACTTTGGGTAACATTTTTCAATGAATTGTTGTGTACAGACTAATGCAGGGGGTTACTGGAATTTTTAAAAGTGGTTTGTTAAACAATTTTCATTGAAATCAACAGGATTTAGGCTTACAACTGCTTGATTTCTATGGAAAGTTACAACACCCTGCTGCAACTTTAGTTATCTTAAACTAATTTGGCTATTTTACGTGTACTGGAGAGAGCACTGAAGGTTCTTTCATGTTTGCCTTACTCAGGGATATAAACGGTCCATCTTTTAGTCAAAATTGTGGAAATCAAAAGCTTGCTGTTAAAATGCATTGTTTTGGATAACTGTTCAGGTGTCCACTTGCGAAATCTTCACTCCTACATGGAGGAGGCCATTAAGTGCAGTGCCTGTGAGGCAGTTTTTCACGAACGCTACGCTTTCCTTCAGCACAAGAAGACTCACAGAGGAGGAAAAGGATTCAAATGTGCTCAGTGCAGCTACACGTGTAATCAGGTATTTAAATTCCCTGAGAAAACACTGCTTACTCGGTGGTTTGGCAAGGTGTGGTTGGCTTTGGGGTTATATTTACCTGAAGAGAATAAAAGCTTTTGTGCCTGCGGTCTGATTAAAATAGTGTAGTTATATTTATTTCCAGGATAAATTGTTCACAAACAAACAGTGAAAATGAAATCTTTTTATCAAGGAAAGTGTTCTTGATAAATCTTTTGTACATGAACTGCTTGGAAGTATCAAGTAAGAGTAATCAGTTTTGGTGATGTCCTGATAAGAACAAAATACAGTATTTGAGCCTGAAATGTGATTTTCAGCAGTGACACAGAATGAATTCAGTCTGAACTGAAAGTTGTATTTTAAAGAGTACATTTAGGATATTTAGGATAGCTTTGGCCTTGATATGTTGGAATGTATCATTACTCTGGTCTGGTTATTTTCTCAGCAATCCTTAATAAAGTTAGGAGGAAAGCCTCTGACCTTCTCCACAGGGGAGCAGTATCCCAGTGTGTTCTTCAGCATCTGCTCACAGTGGAGGATAAATAAGGAGTCTGTGCAACACCCTAACACTTTTCTGGTGCCTGTGAGAGTTGTTTGTACATGTGTCACAGAGCTGGGTAGTAATGTTACAGATATTTTTGTGCTGAATTGCACATAAACAAACCCATACTGGTGAGAAGCCCTTCACTTGCTCGTGCTGCAGCACAAGCTGTTGATGGAAGCAGCTTCTCACTCTTCCCTTTTGGAAGCACCAGGACTGTAGTGTTAAGCCCACAGTTTATGAATGCCCTAAGTGTGGTAGGGGCAAAGATAGATAAGGGCAGGGTAAGATACTTCATTTAAGGGATCTCAGTGGAGTTACCTTTAGAAAGTATTGCAGATTGTATTGGCACAAGGGACTATTTACAAGAGCATGTAGTGACAGGACAAGGGGGAATGGCTTTAAACTGACAGGGAGTAGGTTTAGATTGGATATTAGAAAATAAAATCTTTACTGTGAGGGTAGTGAGGCACTGGCACAGGCTGCCCAGAGAAGCTGTGGCTGCCCCATCCCTGCAAGTGTCCAAGGCCAGGTTGGACAGGGCTTGGAGCAACCTGGGCTAGTGGAAGGTGTCCCTGCCCACTTCAAAACCATATGCAATGAGAACATATTTCTCATTTTGGGTTAACTGGGCACACTTTGAAGTAAGTGTAACCTTTTTTCCACATAGAGATTTTACACGTAAAACTTTATTGCTTATCCAGGAACCAGAAAATGATAAATTTTATTTTATACCCCCCAAATGGCAACATTCCTTTAAAGTAGAATTTTAATACATATTCTGGAAAATCTTCAGGAGTTTTATGAATGTTGTTAACTAAGTCAGTCTTCCACTTAGCATTCCAAAATTTGTCTGTCAGAGCCGTATTTGTTTTGTGTGTGTTAAGTTGCTTACATAGATTAATATCTGATTCATATATTTATTCTTCATTATGCTGACAGAAAAATATGCATAAGCATGCTGAAAATTGTGGACTGGGGAGGGCAGAAACTGCTGCACCCAGAAAAAGAAGCAAGGAGAAAAATAAAATCCATGAGAACCCCAGGCGTGTTAAGTCAGAAGGTAATCAGCAAGTAAGTTAGAATTTAATCATGTAAATTAGATTCAAGACTAAAAGGCTAAGGCAGTGAGTCTTCCCTGCTGTTTAATTACTGTTTCATAGTGAAGCTAACAGTGGAAGAATACTTCAGAATAGGGTTTTTTGTGTGTCAGAAATTCTTGTCATCTGTATTGGGTCATTGCTCAGGTGCCCATTCTGGGCTGTTCCCCTGCTCCAAACGAGTTGCTAAACTCCCTGCTTAGCAGTGCTTACATATATGGTTTTCTTTTCCCTTTTGCAATTTCCCTTTGCCTTTATAAAGGAGAATGAGACCCATCCTTGAGCTGAGCCCTAGTGAGATTTCTTGAGAGCTCATGATTTATGATACACTGTTTAATACAGACCGGAAAAACTTCTTGCTTTCAGGGCTCAGATTGCCTGTTAACCACAAAAGGTCTAGTACATCTTAATAAAGAAATTGTTCACCACCTTTTTGTCATACTTGGACCAGGTAGTGATCAAATAATAATAAAATGTTACTGATTTAAATGGCCTCTCTCACACTGCAAAGATGAGCAGGCCCATTTGTGAAGCTCTTGGTCCAGCACATCTGTGCAGTCAGAAAATCACCCATAATTACTCAGTGCTGCTCTTTGTGGGTAGCTCTGGAGCACTGAGTGTTTATTCTGTCACTTCAGTCTCTGCACTGTTGCAGGGTGAGAACTGGTTGTGTGTTTCCAAGGTCACCTTCAGGGCCACCGTGGCCAAAAAGTAGCTTTGCCTGACCAGAATATCCCATCGTTTGTCCCTGTGCTTCCCAGATGGTGTTTGAAAGCCATAATAGTCTCCTTGATAGGATTCCTCAGGTGATTTTTATGGAGTAAGAGACAAGAATGCAGATACATCTTTGGCCTAGGTGTCCCAAAGCCTTACCTTTTCATGTATCAGGTTGTATCTGCACTGATTCATGGCCAGTGACACTGAGAGAAAATCTGACATAGTGAGAAGAAGAAATGTTGGAGCTTTTCTGAATCTAATGAATATATATCAGCAGCTGAGTTTACATTAGCATTGACACTTCTGTTTTCACTAGTGAGGCTGTAATGGTATGGTTAGAGAGAAGTGTTACAGCTGCAGTGTTTATGTTTTTGCAGTAATTAGATTTTGCTGTTATTAATGTTTTCCTACATGCAAACAGTTTCTTTTTGGTATCTTGCAAATATCTTCATCTGAAAGCTTGATTTTTCTAGAGCTATGATAATGTATTGTTAGATGTTTTTCATGCAAATACTCCGTTCATAAATTGGCTCACAGAAATATTAGAAATTTCTGTGCTGTTTCAGAAGGTTTTCCCCAAAGTTGATGTTTGCAAGTTTTTATATATCAGTGTCCACTTCCTGCACAACTTGAAGGGGCCTGTGGGGTCCTATACATGGCTTTACAAAAAATAACTTGTGAGACTGGTGTTGTCAATGATTTGCTCTTACTAATAAAAAAGAAAAAGGATGCATATGATAATTAAATTTCCAGTTAAATAATGGTTAGTTTTCCTCTGATGAGAATACCATACTCAGTAACGTGGCTTGTAATGTAATATTTGACATAAGGTAGATTCATTCCCCAAATAAAGTGTAAAAGATGTTGGTACATATTGGCAGTATTTTCTCCACTAAATTAAACTGCATATTTGTTAAATTTATAGAAAGATTTACTTGTCTTTTTGGTTAATCATCACAATATTTAATTTTTTTTTCTCAAAGTTGCCCTGAAATCATTCCAAGATGTCTCTACTGTGAAAAATGAACATTGTGCCAGTGAGATTGTTCCTGTTTTAGATGGGATAGAAACAGCAGCTCTGAGAGAAGACAAAACAGAAGCAATTTGTGAAATGGATTCTCAACGTGATGGACAAATAACTCACAAACAGACTGATCTTGCTTGTTCTCAGTGGTTGTAACTGACCATTTCAAAGTGTGGAACTACCTCCAGTTAGAAAGTTGGAAAAGGTGCTGGTTGAAAGCTGTTGAAGCCTCTCTGTGCTCATATTTCTTCTTGCTGCAATTTCTGCTGTGTAGCCTAAATACCACTGCCAAAGTGTGAAAATTATAGGGAACCTTTGCCTGGTTTATTACATAAATGTGATAACAGAATGAGAAAAAAAATAGCTATTTTCAGAGTAATTTATTAAAAAATGGATAGGTTTGTTTCACCTTGCATTTCATTTTTCTCCAGCCTTACTCACAGAATTGCAGATGGATCTGAGGCAAAGTTCTGCCTCAGTAGCTCTATAGCACTGAGAGCTGCATGAACTTCAGATGGTTTATGCTTTGCTGGGGTGAGCACAGGAAAGGCAGTGATTTTTTTAATGCAAGGAACATTTACTAAACCTCCTTTCTGCAGACACTTTAGTTTCTAATACAATTCATGATGCTAAAACACAATTTTGTGAAAAAGCATTTTTGTGGAAAATGCATGGACAGGAATTACCATTTAGGTGACAGAAACCTCATTCAGTTTTGTAGTGTTTTGGCAAACACTGAGAAGTCAGAGTGCTTGAATTCATCAAAATTAGTCACTGGCTTTGCCTTTCCATTACAGTTATTTGAGTTATAACGATATGTATTTATTGGTTTGTGTCTGTTTTCACAATGGTAAAGTTTTAGTAAGCTCATTTGTTCTTAACAGGACTTAAGAATACTTTTGTCCATGATAATTGATTAAATAATATTGTTCACTTTATTCTTGTTGTGCTGTTTCCATTGATGTTATAAAATCTAAGCAGCAGAGTTGTTTAAATTACTTGATGAATTTTATGAATATATATTATTCATTTAATAGTTGTTAATAACAAAGCTGACACATTCTCTGCCGATATAGAAAAATCAGACTACACGAAGTGGAATATGAATGTAGTAATAAAAGATATATTTATATCTGAACTTGAAAATTATTTTTTCAGTAGTTAGAAGCTGGAAGTGTGTCCTTTTGGAAATCAAGAAAGAATGGTTTGACCTCTTCAGGAGTCATTCCTAGTGGTCCCGTGCTTTATAACAGCAAACGGTGATTATTCTTCATGATTAAGGATTTGCATAACTATGCAAGTAGAAATATTTTTGTCATTATTCAGATTGATGTTTTACAAAGATTTAATCGTATTATTCATATATTTAGACCAGTATGCATGTATTAATATCTTTTAAAGCAATACATATTCTGAACAGATTCCAATTTTTAAAATATTTTTTATATTTAGTAATTTTGGATACAGGAATTATTCATGTCATGAAACAGATAAGACTGAAGTATTCTACAGTATTCTCTAACAGCGTTCTCAGATAATTGAGTTATTTGGGAAAGAAGGGGAAGCTTGCATTCCAGGTTTCCCCTGCAAGGTGAAATTGTCCCCCGAGGAGGTGGGGAAGAGGAGCCGAGGCCGGGGATGCTCCTGCGGGAGGATTTGGGGAGCGGCCGTTCCCGGCGCCGCCCGCAGGGGGCGGTGCGGGGTCACCGCCGGGCCGGGGATCGCTGCCTCGGTCTCCTCCGTCACCGTCCTGGGGCACTCCGGGCATGTCAAGGCGATATGAGAAGAGCTCTTTGTTGCTAACAAGTCCTAGTGTCACCACAAAGTGTAGTCGCCCCTGCCGGGAAAGGGGATGGGATGTACACACCTGGCTTCTGCTGGAGCTGTTAGAGAGCATCCAAATGAGAGAAACGGAGAGGGAGGGGCAGAGGAGGGGCAGGCACTGAGCTCTGGTCTGTGGGGACCAGGGACAGGACCCAGGGAATGGCCTGGACTTGTGTCAGGGCAGGTTTAGGTTGGATATTAGGGAAAGGTTCTTCCCCCAGAGGGTGGTCGGGCACTGCACAGGCTCCCCAGGGCAGTGGGCACAGCACCAAGAGCTCAAGGAGGGTTTGGATGACACTCTCAGGCTCATGGTGTGACTCTTGGGGATGGGTCTGTGCAGGGCTAAGTGTTGGACTCGATGATCTTTGTGGGTCCCTTCCAAGTCAGCATATTCTGTGAATCCCAGCTGGGGTGGGATGGGGCTGCCTTGTTGCTCCTGGAATGGGAGTTTGTCCCCTCTGGGGCTGGCACAGGCTCAGCTGGATGGCCGGTCCCTCCACGTTCATTGGCTGTGACACCCCTTCATCCCTGCACCTGCCTTTGCTGTGTTTGCCTTCAACTCTGCTTTACTTGGCTGAGTTGGCAGGTGTGTGCCACCAGTGCAAGGCAGATGCAGTTAACACGCAATTAATATACATTAGGGGCATGCTAATATATTTTCTGATACTGATAAAAGATTTTAACGTATCGGTAAAGTTATTGTTTATTGATAATTTCAGCTGCTTATCTAAGAAATCCTTAGCTAAAGAGGTTTTACGGCTTTTAACAAGCAACAGATTTGTTAGACAAATTTTAGAAGTCCTTTAAGGTGAGGTGAAGTGTGCACACAGGCCATGAGGAGTGATCTGGCCCTTTGATAAAGGGTGCACTTGTCAAACCCAGTAGATTTCTTTTATATGTTCTCCAAGTGAAGTGTTGACACAACAGTGTGGGAACGGTGCACAGTCAGCATCACCACAACACTGGGTCCTTTCATGCTGTGATGTAAGATTTTACCATGAGATGGTCTTTACTCATCGTCTAAGCATTATTCTGGTAGAGTAGATGAGGAAATGGTGGATTTCCAGCTGATTTCCATTTTTGTGAATGTTCCAAGAAATGTTCTTGAACTGTCATTGTAATGTTCCTGCCATCCTCTCCTTTGTATCCAAACTAATCTTTTTCCTGTCTTTCAAATGTTTTTGCTGATTACCAAGTCTGGATTAGGCAAGCATGTCTGCTGTCTGTCGGCACATCTACTGAAGATCTTTGCCGTGATCACTTTTTTGTTAGCTACACAAATTTGGTTATTTAACAATCTCACAACTATACTGCAAAGATAACTGACAAAAAATTAACAGATGGGAATGTAATTGTTGTTGTGAGGAAGCCTCACTTTCTCTCAACTATAGCTGTGTTGTCCCCATTGTACAGATGAGAAAGATGATACACAGAACAAAATTAATCTCTGATTTAATCCTTTTGCCTTCAGGAGCAATGAAGCCCACTGATGATACAGTATGCTGCTGCTTATTACTAGTTTAATTTCACTGAACTAGAAATAGAAACCTGGGGTGTTGCAGCATGTAATGATTAAGTTACATTAGCAGAAGGTGGTGAGCAAATAGGCAAGGACCTGAAGACATAAAGCCAGTGCTGTTAATCACTTCCAGAGACACTAGAATCAGCATATTAAAGCTGAAATAACATTTATAATTTCTTAAAGGTCAGTGCTTAAGATGATATGAAGGCACTCTGGCAGCATGACTAACAGCCATGGGCATGAGTGTAGAGCATCCCATAAGGAGGAAATACAGAGGGTTTCATCTGATGGCAATTGGAAGGTTCATAGAGGAGACACAAGCTCCATAGTCTTAAGACCTTTCTGAAGTAGGAAGAGTAAAATGAATAACACTTTCCTTTTACAGAAATAGAGGCCCCTTTTGCTGTCCTTCCCCCTGAATGCAAGCTCCCTCCATGTGGTCCCTAATGGATGACTGAATTATGGCTGACAGGGTTATATATGGCTCTAACAGTAACTTCCACTCGCACAGTTCAATATCTACTTTTTGTTTTGTTTAAGAAACTGAACGTGCATTTGAAAGCAATTTACATTAATACAGTATGTCTTCAGGCAAACATCATTCCCTGTTGCTGAGCTTTTAAACAGCCCAGCTATTGTTTGAAGTTAGTCACAGAAACAGCTGGGCTCTGTCTGGCATTGGGGGGTGTGAGTGTTACAAAATGGTAAAGCATTTTTGGACAGGTTTGGTTCAATCTGTTTTCACTTTGAATTGACACTTGACAATGAAGAATTTAGTTTCTTTCTCCTTTGGTAGTTGACTGAGTTACCTCTGTAAATGATTTTGTTTATTTTTCGCTTTGGAGGTTTTTTCCCGGATTGTCTATTGTTGGTTTTATCCCTGTCCTGTCCACATAACAACATTTGCAGCTAATGGGAGGAATGCAAAGGAGTGATATTGCTGATTGCTTTGATAAGGAAGAGCCTTGCTTTTATTACCAACTGATTAAATGGTAGGTAGCAGCTAATGGTCATTAAAATTAAGCCTTGGAACTGCCATCCTTTTTCTGGAAGAACTGTGTGCTGAGAGAATTAAGCTCTTCTCCCTTTAAGGCAAAAGTGATATTTTGTTTTTCTGTTATAGTCAGTCATCAGTTGTTTCACTGCAAAATGAAAGTTATAAAACTGTTCATAGTTGGTATTTTCCAATTCCATTTTAAATTTCTTGCTGTTTGAACTGAGTCATTTACCTCTTCATCATTTAGCATTACTGATTGTGAATTTAAATAGTTTAATTTCACATGGGCTGTACCCTCCTGGCCATGCCCTCTGACAAAACTTAGGCAGGGGTTTTACTTCAGTAAAAATTGTGTGATAATAAATGTCATAATAGTAATAAGGTAAGACTTTGCTCCATCTTTGCATAGGTGTAATTTTATAGTCGATTCAGTTGGTTCAGCAGGTTCATTCCAGTTGAATGCGAAGTGAGACAGAGGGTTTTGGGGCAAACTTCCAAAAATTGACACGAAACCAACAACGAAGAGAAGATGAGAATACCCAGCACTTTGAGTGCCAAAAGATTTATTTCTGCTTCTCTCGCAGTGCCTAAGGAATGCAGGAGTGTGTGGAGGTGCTGCCGGCTCCATCCTGCCAGGAGAACAGCCCGGGAGGGACCTGCTGTTCCTGCCGGGCTCCCCTCGCCTGGCAGATGCAGGCTGGCTGCAGGAGGTCACTGTGGGCAGCCAGGCTGCCCTAATGTGGGGTTTTCTCCTCCTCAGGAGCAGCTGATTGAGTCGAAACAATACTCTGCTTTCCCCATTTGATGATGAAGACTGACAGTTTGTAGGAGATGAGTCAAAGGTCACTGATGAGAAGATCCATCCAGATAATTGCTGTAATTGCACCCTGAGGATGCAGCTCCCGTCACAAAGCATCAGGCAGTGACTCTGTTGGTAAATATATACTTGGAAGTGAACTTCATCCTGTGCTTTAAATCAGGAAAGTTCCTTCATGAGATATAAATGGAGAAAGTTCTCTTGATTTTTTTTCTTAATCCGGCCATGTTTTCTCCTGTTGGCAGATGAATAGGAAATAGCCCCATTCTGAAACAGAGAAGTAATTGTGATTTAAACATAAAATTGCCATTTAGTGTTAAATCCTTTGATGAATACACAAGCTGTTGTTGCTTCACAACAAATATCAATAAGCAGCATGAATGAATGAATATACATAATTCATAATATTTAACTTGAAAGTGAATCCTTTTCTTACAGTGATTGATTCATTTTTTTATGTTTGTCCAGTAACTTCTTTACAACTCAATACAAAAAGCTTTTCTGATGGAGAGTGAACAGTAACAGACACAAGCAGCAGGCCTGCCACAAAATTAGCTCTTTATTCCACCCCTTCACAAGGCCCAGAAATCAACAATGCTAAAATATTAGGATGAGAATTCATAGTGGGGAATGAGAAGCAATGGAAGGATGTAAAATTTCTCAGATTATCAGTACTTGCTGTTCAATTAAACCTCAACTATTCTGACGTAAAACTCAAAATTAAGAGCCTTGTAACAGCTAGGTAGCGATTTTAGAAATTGAAGAGAGGAAGGTGAAACCATTTGGATTTCCTAGAAAACATAAGGAGTTTGAGGTTATTTATATGTCTCAAAATGCAATAAAATATAACTATAACTTTCAGAAGCATCAGTGGCTTGGTCTGTGCAGGGTTGGGTGGTGCTGTGGTGCCCAGTGGTGTTTCCAGGTGAACAAAATCTTGTGTGCTCCGGCCTGTTTGTGAGTGCACTGGGTGTGAAAGCAGCTACCCACTATTTAATGGGTGTAGGCAAAGCTGTTTCGTGTGATGTCCACTGAAATCATTGATCAAAGATTAATTTTCTATTTTCAGAATTCAGGCTGTTCTGTGGCTGTTTACAAAACCAGAAAAATTCCCTCTAAGATTTTGCGATAATGACATTCATGATCAAATCCTTATTTTTAGAAACTGAATTTTTTTTGCTTTTTAAGTGCTCTGACTTGAGGAAATATATCTTCCCTAAATACATGTGTACTCTTGCTTAATTAAGAAGTAATTTACGTAAGTCCTTGTGCTGCATGATATAGAGACCATTAGCAAGGAAGTGAGGAAGTGATGAAATTTGTTCCCTTCTAGCCCACGCTCCCTGGGACACTCATCTAGCCTGGGAATCAGCACAAACTGGGCACATAAGTATATTTATTTACATTTACCATGGTGCTTAGCTGTTAAGAATGTCCTTTTCTTTTGAATATGACTCAATTTTCTGTGACTGTGCATTTAGAAAGAAATTGTAAACAGTATTGATCATTGACAGCAGCCTGTTCTTTGCAGTGTAGATAAACTTTCTGTTCCAAGCTTATATTCACGCCTTACAAACGGTACAAAAATAATGACATCATTTCATGTTTCTTTGTAATGTTATGAAACCAAGCCAGTCTTATGCTTCTTACTGAGCAGAACTAAAATCCAAAAGCTTTGTGGTTGCATTGCTGATTGAAAACTGGGGAAATAAATAACACCATTATCAATCAGTCAGCCCTTGGCTCTTGGAGTTTAATTATATGAAGAATAAGAAACATCAAACAGAGGTTGTGCTCAGTAAGGAGTTGAAATGGCAGGAACTAACTCAAATATAAAAATTATGTTGTGGTTTTTTACCTCAAACAACTGTGTTTGAATGTTGTCTATACCACAGAATACTTCCTATTTTAATAGACTGTTTCTTTGCCCATGGGGGAATTTTTCTTCCATTTCTTTTTTTTTTTTTTAGCAGAGGTCCAAGGGATTGGAAGCAAAGTGTTTGTTTTTGAAAGAAGTTACAGTGTTCGTTTTCTGTCAAAACTACATAAAGGATTGTGATTCCCCAGCCATTAGTGAGGAGGTGAGTGAGCATCCAGCATTACACGTGATCCTGTTTATTAACAGACATTTTCATTCAGGCTCTGTGTGTCCTGTATCAGTTTTCTATGGTTACCAGAGGCTGACAGAATGAAGAAGTGCAGGGTAACCTGGTGTTGCTCTAAACAAAGGCTTGTTCCTCTCTGATACTCTCTGGGGCTGGTTTGCGTGTTGGGGCATGTTCCTTTATACCAACATTTAGACAAAGGCAGGGGGAGAATAACATTTTCTGGAAACTGCTTTGGTCTTTTTTAATCTGCTTTTATTTCCTCCTTCCTGGATTTTTCTGTACCAACTCCAAGCAAGTGTGATAGGGAAGACAAGTACCTGTCCCTAAACTACATACCAGTGTAGATACTATAATAATAAAACTTTGCTCTCCTGTTACAATTTATTCAGTCAAGTTTCTTTTATATTCAGTGAAATTGCTGAGACTTTCCAGGCTGATAAAGGCTGTGGTATCAGAGACATAGTGATTTACATCACATAACTCTCATGCAAGTATTAATATAAACTTGTCTTTACTGCTAAGAAATAAATAGGTAGTAACATAGTCATAAGAAAAATTGTGCCAACATAGATTAGTACATTTATAATTAAATGAGTACAAATTGTTTATAGGTTTCAGACTCCATTTAGTACAGTAGAATATGCATGCAATCTGTAAAATGAAATGATTCCCTGATTACTTTGGTTGAAATTCCTTTGAAATAACAAACATGTAGTTCAGAATAGAATTTTACTTTTTTTGTATTTGTTCAATAACAGTCTGATATTATGGTTGTCTTATTTATGCCTTTTGTCACTTATTCGTACCCACCATAGATCTTGATATTTATTTATGATTAATTTAGTTTCTTTAATTCAAATATGCTCTTGAAAGTCTCTCCAAAAGCTCCTGCTCGTGGGAAACTAACAGGCTTACACCAAACATATCTGTCACTACTAAAAGCTATTTGATAAGAGACTTGGGAAAAGATCTGCTTAAAATACAGCATAAGAGAACTGCAAAAACCAGAGTTCTTGAGACAACTGCTGCACAGGAGCTCTGGCAGCTATTTTTGCTGGGAGTGCTTTGAGTGGAAGACAAACATGGTCAAATTAGCTAAAATGCTGGAAGTTCAGTCAAGGATACTGCCTTAAATAGTTCACCCAGAAAGGACGAAGCTTTCTTAGGGCAGCCCCTTCAGAATTCCAATTGCAGTTAGAATTTTTAATAAATAAATATCAGATACAGTAATTTTTCTGTGATTTTGTTTTACAGCGGATCATTGGAATGTTCTGAGGTCAAATTCAGCCCTCCTAGCTATGAAATACTCACTAGCAACAATATATATCTGAGAGTAGACCTTGATTAATATTGTTGTTTTCCTATGCTAGGTTATATTTTTTTGCTATTCATGGCATAGGTCACATTGCTGGAGAAAAAAAGTATGATAACAAGATGTTAAAATTTAAAGGAAAATATGTTCATTATTGGCTTACTTTTACTGTGCAATGGTTTTTACTTCTTGCCAAATATCTGCTATTTGACCTTCTCTGGGCTATGATAATATTGACCTAAAGAGCACAGGAGATCATCTTTCAATGTAGGAATAAATTCAATATTTTCTCATAAATATTTTTCATAGAGCCATAGCATACCAGGTTGGAAAGGTCCTCAAGAATCATCTGGTCCAACCTTCCTAGGCAAAACAGTCTTGACAAGGTGGCCCAGCACCCTGTCCAGCTGAATTTTAAACGTGTCCAGCTTTGGGGAATCCATCACTTCCCTGGGGAGATTGTTCCAACGGCTAATTGTTCTCATTGTGAAAAATTTCCCTCTTGTGTCCAAGCAGAATCTCCCCAGCAGTAATTTGTACCCATTACCACTTGTCTTTTCCATGTGACTCCTTGTAAAAAGGGAGTTTCCATCTTCTTTGTAGCTACCCTTTAAATAGTGGAACATGGCAAGGAGGTCTCCCTAAGCCTTCTTTTCTCAAGGCTGAGCAAACCCAGTGCTTTCAGCCTTTCCTCACGTGGCAACTCCCCAGTTCTTTGATCATCTTTGTGGCCCTTCTCTGGACCCTCTTCAGCCTTTCCACATTTTTTTTGTATAGCAGGTACCAAAACTACTGAACAGTGTTCCAGGTGAGGCCTGACAAGTGCTGAATCGAGTGGGATAATAAGTTCTTTATCTCTGCTGGTGATGCCCCTGTGGATGCAGCCCAGCATCCTGTTGTCTCTCTGCCACAGCAGCTCACTGGTCACTCATACTGAGCTTGTTGGCCACCAGGACCACCTGGTCCTTTTCCACAGAGCAGCTCCCCAGTCAAATAGATCCAGGCCTTAATGCATCACTTTCTCAGTATCAGTAAAACTTAATTTTTTTGGGTCAAATTTGAGGGGAAAATCAGTATGCCTAATGTTAGGCATCCTTATTCTTCTCTTCTAGTGCTCTCTCAGGTGAAATGATCACCTACCAGCACACTGTCTGGCTCAAATACTCCATGCTGGCTTATCCCTGGTTCTCATGTATGTGTTTCCTTCTGTGCTACCATTACAACCCCCATATACATACCTGAGACTGCAAATATTCAGCCTTATCCTTGATCATTCCCCTTCTCTCATCTCAAATCCCTTCAGCTGCCACAAAAGCTTTATGGGAGTTCCAGTCTCTCCCAAAATGCCATATGTGTGGGTGTGACCCCCCCATCTGTTAATTAACATTTGCAGGCACAGACCAGTTTCTAATCATGTGGGTAGGTGGTGGCTATACTCAGCCCACTTGGATGAAAGATTAATTTCCAAGTGCAAAAAAGTAGAAGGAACTCAGTGGAACCTTCGTGGCGACCTCTTTGCCATCACAAGCCCCTTGCTGTGGTTTTGTGTTGGTCTCAGCAAAGGGTTAACTGTGCACAACCAGTCCCCTCACTGCCTCTGCTAAAGGAACATTAATTATAGAGAGCCCGAAGGATTCAGAGCTAAAAAGCCTAAAAAGGCTGAGTAGTATTTAAAACCAAGACAGTCAAATAACCGGTTGGATTTGATCTCTAATAAATTACTATGTTCTGATGGTAAAATTCAGCAAGAGTGTGACAGTCAGATGAGGAGGTTGGCAGCAAAAGTTTTAAAAATAAATAGTCTTAAATTGCAGGAAATTACAGCAAGCAGCTCCTTGGAGTTATTTTTCTGCGCGCATTGTGTGTCTGAGAAGGCAGGCAGCCTGCTGGCAAGCTTTTGACCTTTTGTGTGTGAAATAAAATATGCAGGTGCAATAGTGTGAATGCACAACGGGGGACAGTGACTTTCAGCTGTGGGTTTGAGTGCTGGGGGCCCTGCAGGGCTGCCAGGAGTGCTCCAGATTAGCTCCATTAAACTGGAGAGCAACACAGGGAGAGGCTGTGGCTGTAAAGAATTGCAGAATATGTGTGTTTCCTACAGATATTCTTGTATTCCATATCTGTAAATCAGCCGGTGGAAGACTTGTGTTAAATGATCTTGCTGAGAGCTGATCTGATTCTCGTGTTACTCTATTTGTGTTTCAGCCTGGAGTGACTCTTCTCAGGGCAGTTGAGTTTAGTTCAATGACACTGCTGCCACTGTGATCTCACTCCCAGTTCTTTTTCTGAAAGGAAATCCATACCTGCGTGGCAAGGGCTTCTTCCCAGTGTAACTATATTCCAAATTCCTAAACCTGCTAAGTAAATATGAATGAGAAGTGACCAATGTAAAGAAGGTGCTATAGGTAGAAAGGTGACAGTAGTATTGGGGATGTCAACACTGCAGTGGCTGGAGAAATATGTGCTCTCAGTTTTCCCTCTGCAACAGAAGGGACAAGAGTCCTGGATCTCCATGGACAAAAGGAGTTGCTCCACTGAGATATTCAGTGTTCACATAGACAAAACTGAAGAGTTCCAGTAATTCAGTTATCAGAGTTTAATGTTGTTGTTCCTCTTCCAGTGTTTGTCAGTTGCTCAGGCATGAAAAATCACCTGTTCCTACTGTGGGAAAACCCCCACGCTGTCCCAAATACTTCCCTGTCTCTATAAATCATGGAGGAACACATAAGAAACTTACATAGAGAATTAGGAATCCAAAGTTTTACGTACCGATAATTCACATTTAGAACCAATTTTTAGCTCCATGTTCTTATCAAAATATTGAAGTTAAAGGATTCGTTCTTGGAAGCTTAAATAACCTATATAGAGATATTTGTACTCCTGTCTAGGATTTACTACTAAAACCAGTTCTAACTATTATCTGCTGGTGGCACCATTACACCAGAAGAATTTATTATCCAAGTCTTAAATGAAAAACTTCCACAGATGACACCTTTTAATCTGATTTAATGGGAAAATTTATTTTTTTAATTTCTTCATAGTTTGATGTTAGTAAACCAAGCTATTTTGATGCCATGGGGCCTTTGTGGGTGACTTTTAAAGACATGAGCTTAATAAGGAACCTAGTGGTGATGTAACAGGGAAGGAAATTGGCTGGCAGTGTCACCTAAAGTGGGTGATCCTTTATGCGGTCACACCCTGGGTTTTTTCCTGCATCAGAAGTAATTCTAGATTGAGTTTTATTTCCCGCCTCACCTTTTTTTTATATATTTCAGAAATCTTGACAAAATAAATAAAAAACCAACTTAGAATGTGTTTCATCTTTTGGATGCTGAGGATTACTTTCTGACACTTGAGTTTTCTAACTGTAAGCAGGTAGGAACAAGGCCCTTAATCTTGTTTCTCTGCTCTAAATTTTGACACGGGTTTGGTTTCTCATATGATTTGCTGATAAAAGCCTTCCCAGCAGCTCTTCATTTGCTAGAGAATGGCTGAACACAGCCATTAGATTTTTGTCTGTGGGGTAACCACACAGACAAAACCATTTGCTTTTGTTAGAGGACAAAATGCACCTGATGGTGTTTTCTTCCCAAGCTCATACTTGAAAAATCTACAGATTAAAAACAAGACCCTATTTTTGAAACATATCATGGTGTTTGCATGGTCAGAGAGGTGCAGGGGGGGTTGTTTTGGTTTGTTTTTTGTGTGATGAACACTGAACATTCACAATCTCTGAATACACTTCTATGCACTCTATAGATGATAGTTGCATATATGTGTATGTGACGCCTGTACCATCCCTTCCTGCTGCCTGAAGTTTAATTTTTGAGGATTACTGCCATTGCCCTGCTGTTAATGTTAGTGTGGGCTCAGGAGGTGCCAGCAGTGCTGATCAGAGCACAGAGCAGGTATTCCAGGTAGATTCATGTTGTGTTTACCTCACTTGAAATGCTCCTCTCTCCAGGTTTGCTGTTGGCCACTGCTGGGAGAAGGTTGGTGTGTTTGGTGGCTTCTCCTCCCGCCGATGAATAGCAGCAGTTGGTAGCTCAATATTTTCTGTGCACTTTTTCACAGAAATAGATTGCAGAAGGTGTTTTGGATGTGCATTTTGCACATGTTTAGTAGTTGCTAGGCTTCCTGAATCTCACTCAGCATTCCCTTTCCAACTTGGACAAAAATTTTGAGGTGTGAGAATGTCTGATTTTATATTTTTCTATTTTATTTATTTCACTGATCTTGTCCTAATCCTTCATGAAATTTCCTAGACTGTTTCATTATTGATATGTATTCATACATAACTGTGTGGGCCATTTATATACCACAGAACATTGTGCAGTTTGACTTCTCCTGTGGCTCAGAGGCAGTCACTTCCAACACAGAGTGCTATTTCTCCACACAGGTTTCTTCTAAATTTAATTTTTAGCTTGAAGTTATGAAGGTTGAAATTTTTTAGTAGTTACCTAAATTAATCTTTTTCCTCCCTGAAGACACAAACACTTCTTAATTAAATACATAATGGATTCTATTAATTCTGTTTCTTACAAGGAACTGATTGCTGCAGTCTTCTTCCTTTACTCAAAAATAGAAGAATCACACAACATCTCAGTCCATTATGAATGTCCTTATCCATGGCCCATGATCCTGTATGTCAGGATTAAATAAGAGAGAAAATTATTCAGTTTATAAATCCTCTCATAAAACCTGGTACTTTTCTTTTTCTCCCAATTTTAGAAAACTCAGATTCACTCCGTGTTGCTCTCTCCTTCTCATGGTTAATGTTGCTTTATATCTGGGCAGAAGTAATTTGTGCAAGACACATTGCTTATAGGACAGTGCCTAAAAATACTTCAAAAGGTCATTGCACATCAGACAGAAGGCAGCACTTGTTCCAGCCACTTGCACTGAGAACGACAGGTCTTTGTTAATATTAATTGTGCATATTTTAGACAGTGTATGCTTTAAAAATACATTGCACAAACACGCAGCGATGAGCATTTTGTGAGCCCTGGGACTGGATAACCGAGGTCAGTTCTTCACTGATGATTCGAGCAATAAATGTTTGCTGTTCTTATTAGCTCTGAGGTTTGTGAATTAGAGCCATATTGTGCATCTGCTTCCAGGAAAGTGGGTATATTTTCACGCTCGCCACTTCCAAAAATACGAGCAAAATTAAAAATAGTAAGAGAGATGTATAAAGTACCAAGAGGATTCAGAGCTAATCACTTGCACAAACATTCACCATGATTGTGCTTATAATAGTAATGATGTACACAGAACATGGGAAAAAATCTGCTGGGAGAGCAAGGCCAGATTGAGTAAAGATTGAGTAAAACTGAAAAGTAGCTCTTAACATGTAACATACACACAGAATCATCTTTTCTGACATCCCTTCTTGTGAGTCCAGGCAAAATCAAAAGACATGATTCTCTCTTCAGGTGGACATTATCCAGGAATGATGCTTTTACTAAAAAACCCTTTGAGACTTTATATGTCTCCAGAGGAAAGGCTGTAGGGACATCAAACAAAGAAACCCTGACACCTGGACACCATTCCCATCAAGGCCACCTCACTCAAGCTCACTCAGTTTGTTCTGTAATTTATCTTTAATAAGAAAATGTTGAAAATATCTGAATCTGGCTGTGCATCAAAGGCACTGAAGCTGTGCAGGTACATCATTGTTTATAATGTGACAGTGTTGCGTGGCAATTGACAACCCAAATTTATGTTGCTATTGACTGTGGCCTTTTTTTTTTGAAAACTAGTGCATAAATTTGTTTATAATGGTAATTATTAACACAGGTTTAGAAGCAAAAAAGAATGCTGGAAGAATGAAGTGTGGTGAAAGCAACAGCATCACAAGTTTGGAAGGTGACGCTGTGTAGGTAAAACCATTTCAGAACCTCTTCAAATGTAAAGTTTGTGAAGATAAGCATTAATTCTCTTTTGGAAGAAAGAATGAGGTAGAACAGATCGGGTAGTTGCCAAGAAAATGGTTTGAAAGAAAGTAATGTGCACATGTTGACATTTCCTGCTTTTACATAATTTTTCTTAAAAACAACTTACGAAATAGCCTTCAGTGGAATAATTGTGTTCATTAGTGGGGTAGGAAGACAAGCATTTCCAGCATCTCAGAAAGGCAGTCTTGCACTGTACCTCTCTTCTGTTGCATTTGACCACCCCAACACATGCCTTTATTTTGTTTTTGAGAAAGCAGGATGCCGTGACATGAACAAAAACTGAGCAGCATCTTTTACTGGCCGTGTGTTCCACCTGAGGGGTTAAATGTGAGGAGAACTTTGTCCACCTTCCCATGAATGCCCACTTGAGGTAGAAAATCATGAGCTCTGACTGCCCAGGGCACAGGTTTCATTTCTCTCTTCCTCTGAGCACAATTACAATTTATTGGCTCATCCTCCACTCTCCCTCCCTGAGAATCAAATCCACGAAGCAGGTTTTGGAGGGGAGGGTGTTGGTGGGTTGAAGCCCAAGGAATATCTTCCTGCCTGGTCCCTCCATGCAGTCCCTGCCCTGTGTGCTGGACGTCTTCTACCTCTCTGCTCCCGGGAGATTCCCTGGATTTTCCCTGTGAGAACCCAGTTTTCCTCCCTGATCACACATACACCCCACCCCACCTCAAGCATCCTGTAGCTCTGCAAAACACGTTCTGCTGCCTTGTTTTCAAGTACCATTTGAACATATGTTGTGTGTGGAGATGCTGATGGACAGCAACATCTGCTGCTCCCAGCCAGCGCCTACACTCTTATTTGGACTGTAATTACCTCGTCGGCTGCGAGCTGTGCCCTGTGTTTGCCCACTATCTGTTCCTGTCAGGTCTCTGTCTTCCACAAACTGCCCATTATGTAGCGATGATAATTAAATCTCCCCTCTGCCAGGCAGGTCTGAGCAGCGCACGGAGGGCCCTCCTTGTCCGTGCAGCTGCCAAAGAAGCTGCAGTTTGTAATGATGCCGTAATCACCTGCCGGCCCCACAATGCCCGGCACCACCTATTTGTTTCCAACAAGCTTTTTTAGCAGCTGTCAGATGCTAATGGCTTTCAGCTGCTGACAACCTGTGCCCCGCGCAAAGCCGGGGACGTGTCATGGAAGCCTGCATAAATATTCATGTGGGACTAACAAAACCAAAAGTGCAAGTGTGGTTATCAGAGCTCCTGTGTGAATATAGTGTAGCTGGCCCTGTTGTGGTGGTTTTAGTGTGATGAACGCAGGGTAAATGTTTGAAAGTAATGTTGTGCTTTTTACACTCGTGAGAAAAAAAGTACCAAAGGTAGTGGGATTGCAGGGGCACGTGGGTAAGAGCGGGATTCGTGCCCTGCATGATGCAGTTCTAGATGGGGCATTGCTGTCTGTCGTGGGTGATGTGCTGAAAATTGCTACTGAAAGAAAGGAGTTGCTGTGTTTGCTCACATGTCTCTTCTGAACCTGCCTATGAAGATTTGGAAGTTTCTCACCGGGTCTGTTCTAGATACTGAAGGAACACAAAACCCCACAGATTGAGCTCAGTGCTTTAGTTTTAAAAATAATTAAGTAATTCCGAGACTAAGAATGTATCTGATTTGGTCAAAACTTGATAATTTCCCACCTTTCGGCACCCTGAAGCCTCAAAGCTTTGACATCAGAATAGAAACATTGTGAGTCAGTTTTTTTAGACAGACTGTTTTACAAATTAATGTTGTCAATGTGTCTGCATGGGATTATTTTTAAAAATATTTTGTTGGTAACATGCTTTTACTTTTCTCAGCAGTTTCTGGATAGCTCTGCTGAGAGGAGATGTTCAGATTAAAGTGCAAGATGGAGATGATGAAGATTCTGTGACAACAGTCGGGGACAAGGATGAGAGTCCTCTTGAAACTCTTCCTTTGGAGGTCCCTGTAAGTTATGTCAGAGGCCAGTGAGACCTATTTGCTCACATTTCTCTGCAATATCAGTAATTTGCAGTAACATCCCAAATGTGAAAAGTGTTTTTAATTGGTCTTCTGTAAAAGAAATTGACTTTGGGGAGACTAGTAAGGTGTCTTTATATATCCCTTACTTCTTCTGCCCGGAATGAAGTTTACCATTAAATTCCCTGAAAGGTTGCTGTTTTAGGATTGCATAAAAAGTGGAGAGCTGGGCAGAGGTTAAAGGATCAATCCTGCAAACTGTTGAAATGCAACTGATTCTACTTATGAGAGCTTCAGTGGGAAAAATTCCCACTGTGATTTGACTGTGGTCTGATTCTCATTTGCACTGACTCTCCTATATCCTGCTAGTAATGGGTAAGATTCAATCTTGAGGGAGGATGTCCATATAAGAAATGGTTTTTGGGTATGTGGAAACAAGACAGACTCCATTAAGGCATTCTCTTACCTTCATCTAAATCTGAAAATAATCATAAATTGGTGATGGTACCTTAATTACCTTGAATAATTATTCATATAGTTTGTGTGTGTGTATTTGTGTGGGGAAGAAGTCTTGTGAAAATGAAGTTAATTCAGTGTCTCAGATAAAGAAGGATATTTGTTAGAAATTGTTGTCATAATAGTTACACAACAGGATTCAAATATTCTTTAACTTAGTATGAATAAAATATTAAAAGATACAGGTGTTGTTCATGAAACATCAAAGAGTTTTCCACTGCCACTGTGTTTTATTAAAATGAAAAGAAGAAGAGAAAAGAAAAAAACCAAAGCCCTGTGCTAATCCTTTCCTTTGTTGCTTAAGGGACGTTTCAGTATAAAGTAGCAATTTCCATATCATTTGAATAGCAGTTGCAACCCATTGATGTTTAAAGTAAAATGTGCAACTACTGTAATCAGCAAAACAGATGCAAATGTGTTGTCTGTCTCCCAAGTGTAGCTCCCTGCTTGCTGTCTCCGTTAGATTTGGAGTGGAAAACATGATCAGATAATGAAAAACATGGAAGCTATTCTTTTATCTCTTTCATAGCAGTGGTTTGTTCAAAAGCAAGTTGGCTGGATGCAGCACTGAGTGAGAGTCCTGCAGCAGCACCCCCAGCCCGCTGCTCCGGAGCTGCAGGAGATGCCGCGGTGCTTTGGAGGTGGGAAAGGGACCCCCCACCCTCTTCACTAACCCTGCCCCTGGGGGCAGAAATGGCCTTTTGGCTCTGTTTAAGCCCAGTGGCATCCCAGTGTAAGTCTCTACACATTTTTGTAAGTAAGCAATAACAAAAATAAAATGACATTTAGCATTTAGATCCCAGACCGGTGGTTTTGGTTGTGCCGGGTACAGTGTAGCAGGCTAGATAAAACCCTGCTGAGCTCCCTGAGTCCTGCCATCCCAGGCTTTAGGTGGCTGGAACTGTTCCTCAGAGGGCTTTTAAACTCTAAAAATAACCTGTAATGGTATGAGGAAAGAGTTTACTTTATCCTTCACATTTCCAAATTTAACAATGAACACATGTCGATGGTGCCTTTCTGTGCTTGGTGTATCTGAGCTGCTGGCACAAGAACTAGAGCCAGCAAGGGATTTCCATCAGAATGACTTCTGAGTGAAGCTGCCCTTCTTGGAAAAGGGAAACCTTCTCAGCAAAAGGCTTGATGAAGCCTCCCAAACAGGTTGTTGATGTGATGAGAAACCTGTTTTGCTTCCTTGAGAGCACTTTCCTGGAAAAAGACTCATTTGTGATTTTTTTTTTAAATTAGTATTTTTCCTAATCAGGAGACATCTTACGGAAAAGGATTTCCATCTTGTGGTCAGCTGTGGTAATAAAACACTCCTGCTGGACTTTTTTTTTACAGCAAAACAAAATGGTTTTAAAAAAAAAATAATGGAAATCTCCTGTAGTTCCTTGTGAAGGTAAATGCTGGAGACCTCACAAAGTCTGTTTGCATTTGCACAGAAGGTAAAACTGTTTTAGGATTAGCCCCCTTCAGAAGGTCATCTTTGGAACTAAAAAGTATTAGAAAAGGTATAATGCAAGCTATTCATGACAGAATATTCAATTTTGACAGATTATGCAGCATGTGTGCCTCAGGAGCCACACACAGGAGCCCAGACAGAATTACTTGTAACCTTAGTGGATGAGAGGCAATTACTCCTGAACTCCTGGGAAAACTTCTATCCAGAGCCAAATATTGTTGCTTGGATTGTTTGCTATTCCAGGATGACTCTTAGGCTCAGTACAACGTCATCATAACTTCATGCAGATATTTGTTGTTCAGGACAAGTTTTGAAACCCATGCTCTAATCTCGAAATAGTAAAATGCTGCAGGGTTAAGTGGTGGAGTTCACTGGAAAATCTGCCCACTTCAGTGGGAAAGATTTTTTAATATATTAAAAACAAAACAGATTTGGAAAGGTCATTTTAAATACTAAGAACTGTGACTGAAGGGCAGGGCTGTGTGCTGCAGAAGTTTTGGCATTCAGGATCTTGTGTAGGTGCTCTGTAAATGACCCCTCTTGTACAAACCCACAAGGACAGGTGGGGCTGTTAAAAGGAATAATTAAATTCTTGTATTTAATTATCTTTCTTGTCCAGTTGTGCACTGAGATGCCCCCACTGATTGCACTGATTCTGACTTCAGCAAGAGCTGGACCAGCCCTGAATATTTATAAGGAGAGTTAAATAAGATCTCAGATCAAATTCTTAGAGATACATGTAAGAACTTTGTGAGTCTTTTTTATTTTGGGGGCTTGTAACTAAAGGAGATGTTCAGTGTGTTCCTTAGTGGGTGCCAAAAAGCTTATTTTCAGAAGTGTCTGAATCTCAAGGAAAGTCAATGACTGCTATATTTAATCTGAAGTCTATGCAACTGCTGTTGAAATCAAGCTATGTGCTTTTTGTAATAATAATACGAAAAAATAGAGCATTTATATGAAAAGTCAGGAACCATGCATATAACTTACATGCCAGGGTAATGTAGATTTCAAAAAAACAGTTCAACAACGTGTCTGAAGTTGTGCTGCAAATATTACTTTAAGGAAAGTAGAAATTAAGAAAATATTTGTGAACTCTTTGCAGTATTTGGTAAATAGTTTCCAGAAAAAAACTGACATCTGAAGTTTGTACACAGGCCTTGTTCTGTTGGTAACTACAGGCAGTGGGAGTTTTTGCCATGGTCTCTACTGAAACGGGATCCAATTCTTTTTTTTTTTCTTCTTATGTGGAGATATAAATCTTAGACCTTAATTACACTTAAGAAGGAAAATACTTTGTCTTTTTATGTTAAAAAAAAAGTCATCTAACTATTATAAAGCATTAAAAATTACTTGAGAAAAGGCTTCCTTATATCAAACAAATCTCTCATTTTGCTTTTAGGCCTTCCTGGAGGGTGCTGTGTTTATACTATTTACTTTAAGTGTGAGAACTTTATGTCAGATCAAACCATTAGCAACTCTTCGGGCAGCAAATGGCAAAACACAGCTCGGGGACCCTCTGGAGAAATGCAGTTTCCACACTTCCACATTTCACCACAGGGTGCAAGTGGTGAGGAGAAATCAGGGAGGAGAGAGGCAGATAACTCAGCACCGAGGGGAGCAGCTGAGCCCTCCCAGGGTGGCTGTTGGGCAGCCCTGGGAATGCTGTGCTGGGCTCCTGGAGCATCCTTGGCCACCCCAGAAACGATGTGTGATGCACCCAGCAGAATTCTGGCTCAGTCTCCAGGGTCTCCTTCCAAGTTTGGACTATTCTGTGAATTGCAATATGTACATGGATGGGCATTTCTTCTTGCAAAGTTTTGGGAGCTCAGGCATTGTCCCTTGCCAGTGATAAAGCCGGATTGAAGGGCTTTGAGCTTGCTGGTGAAGATGCTGGTTGAGAGATGAACAACTTCTTTCTTAAATTTACTGGATTGTTTCCTTTCTCTGGACTACTGACTAATTACATCCTTTGAAAAATGTTTCATTTATCTAGTTCTTTGGGCCCAGTGCACTGTGTGTCAGTGAAGAAGTGTTTTATTTGTATTAAATTGCACTGGCAAACATCCCTTTTCTAGTGTGGAGCTGAGGTTTGTGCACACGCTTGTGTTTTCATTTCATATATAAGCTCTCGTGTCATCCTGACAAGGGTGGGTGGGCACCATCCTCCCTGCTTCTGCTGTTTCTAGCCTTGGAATAGACTATTTTGTGCAAGTTTTGGTTCCCACATCCTCAGCTCTTCAAACTGTGAGGCAGAAAGTAAGTATGAGTGTTTTGGAGAGAGCTGGCTGACCAAATGGCCCGTTGTTTTTTTCCTTTTATTGCCAGTTGCTAAGAAATGTGTGAAGGAAGCTGTCAAGCACATTTTATGGGATTACTTTCCATATAAATGGCTGCCAGGATCACCGAAGTGTGGCCTCAGAGGAGAGAGGTAGCAGCTCCCAAGGTCAGGAACAGCAGGGAGGTGTCCTGAGCAGGGACTGGCAGTGACTTTCAAATAGACAGGAAGACACTCCTGATGTGGCTCCCCTGGGCATGGTCTGTGCCAGGACACATCATGGAGAGTTTTTCTTGCCTTAGAAGGGGCTGTTCTGGCTGCTCTGTTTGGTTCTCCTTGGAAGTGGGAAGTCCCATGTTTTGCAATGCCAGCACACAGTGGAAATGAGGAGTCTGGATAAGGGATGGAGTTCACGGTGCCTGAGAGCAGAGCTTTCATCCATCTGAAACTTTGGTAGTTTCTATGTCCAAAATATTGTGATTTTTTTCCCATTGATTCTCATTCTTCTGCAGTCCCTTATCCATGGGCAAGCACTGTGGCACCAGGCTGCAGCTTTCCACAGCAGCATCACTAGTTTATTAGCTTGTGGCCTTAGGCAAACCTGAAATCATTAACAGCCCATTTGTTGGGCTAATGACTCTTTTTTACTAGATGTATAATTTAATATATGGTTACTTTCGTGCCTAATTATGCTCTTCAAAGCTTCTTTTGAAGGAATTTATTTTTCTGCATGTGTGTATTGAGAGGGTTGGGAGCTGGCTGGCTTTTCTTGCATGCTGCCCTGTATTAAAATCTAGATAGTTTATGTAAGAAGATTTTAATTTAGATATGGGAATTTCCCCCATTGCTCATTCTTTCAATATTTTTATCTTTGAGTGCTTGAAAAATAAATAGTGGTGAATTACCAACAGGTTTTAAATGGCATCATTTCATGTCCTATTGTAGCTTGGTACATTGTTTTGGACAAGACGTAAACCCAAAGTCCTGATCAATAGGGCCATTGTGGCAGCAGCTTCCAAATGAATGTGAGCCTTGATCTCAGTGTCCTGGCCGTGTTCCAGCCTGGTTCACATTTTACTCAACGGCAAGTCCCACTTCTGTTCCCGTTAACCTCAGTGGGAACAGAGGCAGACCACTGTAAAGTGCTGCTAATCCCACGTGCCATTTGCATGCAGCGCTTGTAAAGCATTCTGGGATCAGTTTGGAAAAAAAAAGGCTATGCATGTAAGATGTTTTTCATTGGCATCCCAAATCCAGTGCCATATCAGTGAAAGCAGGTTATGACTTTGTCCATCGGGATAATTTTTTTTATTTTTTTTTTTTTGAGCTAGGCAGCTGATTGGGAAGGATAATAAAGATGAATTTGATTTTCTTTCTGTGAGCTCTAGTGTCCCCTTCATGGAGATTAAAAATTTCCCGGTGCTGTTTTCAGCTCCACAGAGCAAGCAAAAGCTAATCTCCTGCTTGGATTTCCTCACACCATTGCGATCCACTAATAGGATCGCCATACAGTTTTGACTTAACAGGCACTGGGAGAGGATAATCCTGTTTATTCGGTCATCCAAAACACTGATGATCTGAGATAATCAGTGGGCTGAGAGCAGGGGAGGAGGAGGAGGTTTGCTTTGCTGTGTGGTTTGTCTGGTCAGACGCTTCGTGCCAGGGAATGGCTCAATCTCATTACTGCAGCCAGAGCATGGGAGGGTACCAAAAACCTCCTCCCAACACCAGCCCTGGAGAGCCAGCCTGATAAAACAACAGCCTTAGCAGTGTCTGGCCCAGATGTTTTGCTCAACAGTTTTAAATTGTTTTTTCTGTGACTGATTTAATATAGAAATACTCAGACAAGTGTCCCAGCGGCCACGTGAGGCACTTTGTACAAAACACTTTGGCTACCAGGTGGCAGAGGCTGGGAGTCAATGGATCAGCTCCCAGTACTCACTCACATTTGGAACCTTACACAAAGCCAGTCCTTGGATCCAAGCTTGCTAAAAGTAAAACCAGTTCCATATTTGCCAGACATGAGACACTGCTTTGAATATTTGTGAGTGGCCACTGGATCTCTGGGAATGTAGGAGCACGTGCTGCAAAGCCCTTTCCAAGAAATATAATCTGTAAGAAACTTTCCCCAGTGATTTAGAGATATGCCTTGAAACTGGGCTGTACAGAATCTGTTGAGAGGGCATGTTAGTGAGCTTTCTAATTACTTTCTTTTTTTTTGCTCTTGTAATCACTAAAACTTTCACACTTGGTATTATATCCCATTAGGTTATTGCCTCAGGTTTCTGTGAAAGGCCCCATCTCCAATTTGATCTCAGTCAAAGTGCATTTTGTAGATAGACTGACTTTGAAGCCTCATTTTATGATCTCTGAGCTGTCATAGTCCAGATGACAGGTTTATAGTTTGGAAAGCCAGTAGCAATAGCTGAGCTCACTAGTCTTTATAAGTAATGCTCTGTCACTAGGTGCAGCTCCTCACCATGGTGACACTGCAAATATTGAACACAAAATGATTCATGGGACCCAATACAGTGCTTACTTTAATTAATATTTTACAAGATAACTAGCTTTGTTTAACTTTCCAAATAGGAGTGGAGCGGGGAGATCCAGAGGACAGAATGTTGCTATGTAAAATTTATGGGCACTCGTATTTGTGTGCTTGTTTTTAAAATTAAATTAAGAAAATATTATTTGTTTTCTTCTCTCTCTGCTGGGTCCTGCAAGGGTCTGGGGGATTTTCTGTGTGTCAGTGTTAAATGATGAGCTCTGAAAAGCAATGTTCTTGCTCTCCTGCCTTCCTCCCTCCCTCCCTTTGTATTCCCATGCAGTCAGTGTTGCAGGGCTGTGTCCTTCCTGCGAGTGCTTTGGGATACTGTGTGCAGAGAGCACAGTGCTGGACATGCACAGCATCACTGACTCTGCTCTAGGTGACCACTGGTGCATCCTGACCATCAGACCCCTCAGACCTGAGGTTTAGCCATGTTTCCCTGAAGAAATTACATATTTTGGGTAAGTAACGCCGGATTCTTTGCTAAGGTTGGAAGGAAGTAAAGGAGTATGGCAGTTTCAGACCTTTGGGACAATACAGGAAATTAATAATTAGGAAATTAGCCACAGTGGAATGCTATGATGAGCTTATTCCAAATTTCCATGCACCTTAACTGGAATTCATTGCACCTAAAGATCAATCTGTAGACCAGAAAAAGAGTTTTACTTGACAGAGGATACATCAGCCCATCTATTTAGGTGGTGGTCACACCATCCTTAGAAGTGGTCAAATCCAGGGTCTTTCCCTTTAGATATGCCCTAACAATCTGAGAGATCAGTTCACATTCACAGCCACGACCTCTCACAGCAATGTCACAATGACCAACATGGGGGAGGCTTGTGAATACCAACCACTTAAGAAAAACTGTTTCTCAGTGCTGAGGTTTATCTGTAAATTTCCCTACTACGACTAAGATTTCCTTTTGTAATTTTTAGAACTGTAACTGTAAATAAGCAAACATTATTAGATCTTTTAAACTCGTGAGCATTCTTCTACAAGCAGGAAAAAAAGTGGCCCATCATTACTCCTGTTTGTCACAGGGCTCCAAGAAATGCCCATTAGTGTGTGTCCAACCCCTTTATATAAAACTGAGAGCGATGAAGTCACTGACGGCGCTTTTATTTGTCTGTATTGAGTCCTGAATAGATGGCAGAGAAAAAAATCCTGCATTAATAAAAGAATAAATTCCTCTTCACGTTAACATAAAATACTTCTAGAATGATGAAAAGATTTGGGTTCACTCCAGTGTGGTTTTCCCCGTGTGGTTGGTTTTTGCATTTCTTTCAACTTGCTCTTTGTAATCCATTTCCAGTTGGGCTTTTTTATTTTCCAAGTCTGACATATAGCATGATGTTACAAATTCTGGCCTGTGACAGCTTGAGGAATATTTATTTGTTTAGGCAAAATATCTTTCCTTCCAAGTCTATTTTAAATGCCATAGAAATGTTTTCTTACTCCTTTTGTTTGTCGTGTTTGGTTATTAGAAACCTCTGCTCAAGGTCACCAGTGACACAACCATCCTTTGCAGGAGGCATTTCCAGGGGTTTTGTGTGGATGGCTTCAGGAAATCATGAGGGGATGATAGGGAGGAGAGGAAGATGGAGGGTTAAGAACTTTTTCTAGAGTATTTGAAAGCTTTCTTTTTCTTTGCAACATGTAGTAGAAGAAGTAACCACGAGGCAGGAGTTGAAAGCTGAAGCTGTGCAACACAAGCCTGGCCCAGTCTGATGTCAGGGGACAACCTTTGGTGAGCTTTGTTTCTTTCTCTGTCCTCACAGTTGGGAATATGACATGATTTAAAACTGCTGTAGCATTAACTGCCCCGTTACACACAGCAGAAAGCTGAGGGACCGACCTCATCTGCTAGGACAAGTGTTTTAATGCTGTCCAAAGTTCAAATCAATCAAAAGGTCAAGCTTGTTTAAGGCAGTGAGTGATAAGGGGGGGGGGATGTCTCGGGAAGCTCATTCCTAGTTGTTGGATTTAAGCCAGCCTGGCTGCAGGAAAATCTCCAAATAGCAAGAACCCTGGAGAACAGTGACAGCTGGGAAACTGTGGGCTGAACCTCCCCTTGCTGGAGCCAGAGAATTCCCATCAAATGCAACAGAAGAAGAATAGACCCTGGTGAATAGGGAGGGATGGGAGGGAAGAGGGAACTCACACCTTGCTCAGTTGAGACTGGACTTTTTTCCCACACCATCAAAGGCAGAGTTTTGCCCTCTCAGTGTTTTCTTCTGTGCAAGGATAACATGGAAAACTTTCTGTGGAAAACTCTCCTTCTGGTTCTGTGAGGGGCTGCTCAACATTTTGGAAAACTCCTTCCATAGTTTGTAATGGCTGCTTTTTCAAGGGTCTAGTGGCTTTATTTAAAACAAACCAAAATAAATTTAAAAAAAGACAAGAGGGGCTGAGGACTTCTTAGAGTATGTTCCTGCCATTTGAGTTGTATGATGGGGGGCATTAGTGGGGAGCTCATTAGCCCCTGTGGCACATGGCCATGCTTTCATAAGCTTGCAAGACAGGATTTTTTATATACTTTTTTGTGTGTGCGTGTCAAAGAAAGCATTCTGCAAGGGCCAACTACAGAAAAAAATCCCTGGTCTTTTTGGCAGAATTCCCTGGTACTTATACAGCCAGGATTTTCTGTGCTCCAGCTCTGGTGTGTGACCCATGCTCTCAACACATCCAGGACCAAATGAGGATCTTTTGACTCAGGGCTGAATCTGACCGTTTTTCTTCTATGGAAAAGATGTAAATAATTCTAGGGACGGGTGAAGAAAGGTGATATTTGGGATAAGGAAAGGTGGCCCAGGCTGCTGGCCTGGCCCTAAGAGGAAGGATGGGTTGAGGACCAAGCCATAGACCTGTATCACAGGACCACCATTGCTTAGAGATCTGATGGGAAGCAGCAGAAAGACCCCCAGACCTGGAGGGAGGCTACACAGCAGCTTGGGGGCTGTGCTGGTGGATGAACAGCCCCTCATTTGTGTTACCACATTGCTCATATCCAGCTGAAAGTAAATGGTGACTGAAAGCACCATGGTTCCCTCTGTGCTCTGTTCTGCAGGAGCACTAACACAGTGCAGGCAGAGAGGGTGTTTTGGATATCCTGGGCCTGTTGCTGTTGGTGTTGGTCTTCTCAGCAGTGAGCAATACAGTGGCTACAGGTTTCCAATCCAGTGGCCACTGCACACCCCAAAAGAATTGGCATGGAATTAAGAAATAGAGCGTGTCCCTTGGGAAGGCAGGAGGCATCATAAGCCTGGGATGCAGCTGAAGAACTGGCAAAAGTTCCCTCAGTCCAGCTCCAGACCACTCAGCCCACGAGGGCACCTGCCTATCTGGTCCCTCCAGCCACCAGGTCAGGTCTGTGCTGCTTTCACTCACCTGCAACTTCACCATTGGCAGAACCAGCAACACTGCAACAGAGAATGTGGATTTTTCTGAGCTCTGATTCATGACACCAGATGTGCCTGTGCTTTTTTTCAAGCTCATTTGAATGTATGCAATGGACATCTAGCTTTGAAAAATCATCAGTTGCCAGATGTCTTTTAAATTGTCTACCTTGCAAAATCGTCAGTTACCAGATGTCTTTTAAATTGTAAACCTCTGTAGTCAGAGGTTAAAACTGTGTCAAAACAGGCACTGATAAGAATTCATATTACATTTAAAATGTACTATGATTTCCTCCAGCTCTTTCCCCTGAGAAGTTCTTGGATGGAAATTTTATGGCTCACGAAAGATTTGCCACCCGCCCATCGCTATAGATTCAGTGATAAATGCTTTTAATAATTAACAGTGGCAGGGGGCCTCTGTCTCATGGATCTCTCACCTCTCAGACAGCAGAAATAAGGCCTGTTGAACAGGAAGAGTCATGGGGGCTGCACAGTGGTGGAGGGTTCCTGCAGCTGTACAGTTTGGGTCCCGGTGCAGATCTTCTACGACTGGAGTTATTTGTGAGCAGGATTTTGTCCTGTGCCAAGTTTGGAGCTCAAGGCAGCCAGAGGAGCAGGGAGGCTTGAAGAGTTCCTAAGGTAAAAGAGGTCTGGGGGCAGTTTGGGGCTGGAAAGAGGCTGTGCAAGTCACAAGGACAAACAGGTTAGGCTGTGAGTTTCCTTCTTAATCCGACTCTCCAGGGTCTCATCCAGCCTCTGTGCTGGCTGCCAAAAGCTCATACTGAGCGGCTATTTTGGGATACAGCAACACCAAGTGTTACTTCAGAGATGTTTGGAGAGAGATTTAATAAAATCAACTAATAAGGTTTGACGTGCTGAAGATTAGAAAGAGCCATTCCGAGCATCTGTGCTGACCTCGGGGGTGGGAGGCTCAGGGGAGTCATGTGTGTCCTGGGCATGGATGCCCTTCTGGGGTGGCTGGTGGGACAGGGCTGCAAACTGCCTTGGGCTGTCAGCTTCTGCTTTTGTTTTGATGATTTAGGTTGGGGTTTTTTTGCCTTTTTTATCATAGAACCAGCCCAGAATAGAATCACGAGATTGGTGTTTATTACTTTCCAAATAATCTATACTCTGGTTTTAGTGCTGACACTGTATGAAGGGCTGTGTCACCGCTGCGCTCATGTTTCCATGTGACACCACAGATTACTGTTTTTTCCCATTTCATAACTAATAAGTGAAGTGAGTTTGACAGCCTTGGTTTCAACTTCAGCCTGTTGGTTCCCATGTCACAGATAGGCTCAGTTAGCAGCAAATTCTTGTCAGGAGAAGAGAGTTACAGCTCCAGCTTAAAATGTGCTAGCGTCCAGTGCAAAGCTTTAAATTCTTGACCAAAGTTAGATAAAGCCAGCTGAAAGTGTGACGTTTGAAATACACTATCTATTTATCTTTTCCTTCTGACCAAAAATACCTAGAGTGGAAGTATGTGTCTTTGCATCCAAGCAGAGAACAGTTGAGCTCCTCTAAAGAAAAGCATAAACACAGAACTTTAAATATTCTGTTTGTTAAAATCTGTGCAACTGTTCCTCTCCCTACTTGTGTATATGTTATCTATATTAAAAAAATGGTATGTATATACACATCATTAAAGAAAAAAGAATGATTAGTTTTCAAGGTATAGGAAGCTTTTTTAAGTGGTAGTAAGAAAAAATTGTTAGCTCTCCCCCAGTAGTCATTAATAGCTCCGAGCTCCAGCCTGAGTACAGATGGAACTTTGATATGATCACAGATTTGCAGTGAGTATGTGCTGTGTATCGTGCTGCTAATCCTGTGGTGGAAATCACCTCCTCCTAACACCTGGTGCTGGGACCTGACACAACTGATTTCAGCTACAGCTTATGCAGCCTCATGGGCTGGATTTGGGCAGCTCAGAAAGCACTGGGCACTCTCTGCCTGGTGCTGTGTGCTGATGTCCTCCCATAAAACCTCCCCTCTGCAGCTGCTGTCCCAGGCTGCCCTCCTGGGCCACTTTCAGCCCAAACATTCACTCAAGCCCCTTTTCTCTGTGCTGGATGGGGACTGCTCCTCCCCTCCCAGCAAAAGGGTTTGTGTTTAGACAATGTTTTTAGTTGTGGTTTCCAGCAGGATGAGCTGTCCCACCTCCCAGCTTGGGTGAGGGAGGAACAGTGTGTGAAATACAGCAGCTTCTGAGGTCAAGTGCCTGTGGAGTAGGGAGCCCTGGGCCCTTTGGCTACAGCTCTGGGCGTCTTCAGGGAATGCTGTTTCCAGAGCCTCCCCTGCTGCCTGGGGCTGGGCAGGGAGCACAAGTGCCATAAAAACTGGAGCCAGATGTAGAGTCCGGAGGGTTTTGGCCTCTTTGCTAATTTTCAGCAATCAGATCTTGTTATTTAAGAGTTTTCTAGAAGCTGAATGGAAGACTGGAGGGGGTTTTGGAGGGGCTTTTTTGGTAATAGTTTGCTAAATTTATGGTTTAGATCTGAAGGGACCCTTAGCCTGACCTCTGGTATATAACAGAGTATTGAATTTCCTGCACTTAACTCCCACAGTCCATCCAAGAACTGCCTAATCACAGTGCTTTCCTAGGAAAGCAAACACTCTTAAATGCACTTATTTCAGCATGGTAGACATGCTTGTTATTCCTGATAGTTAGAAGGAATGGGGATTTTCAAGAAGGCTCTTGGATGATCTCCTGACCAAGGCTTTCCCTGCCTTCCCCTTGATCCCATCCCTCTCCCCAAACTGCACCCCCCATGCTGCTTGTCTCCTGTCCTGGTTATGCTGAAGGTTATAGAGACATTAAATAAGCTTGAGGGGCAGAGGAAGAAGAGGTGTCCATTTTGGGAATTAGGAAGGGGCAGACATGTAACCCAGCTCAGCAGCAATGGGGTTAATCTGACTGTGCCCCACATTTGGGTGGGGATTTGTGAACTTAAACCAAGTATTTATTATTCCACACAGATGTTTGCAATGACATATGAGCCATCACTGCTGTTCCTTTTCCTTGCAATGGCACCATGACACAAACCCTGCTGGACCAGGCACTGCACCAGTGCAGAGCAAAAAGCTGTCCCTACCCCAAAGAGGTCTCAGACTCACAAGGTAATTACTTATCTTTGTCCATTAATTTCCCTTTTTCTTTTTTTTTTTTTAAGTACCCAGATAATATTCTTTCTCTCCCAGACTCAAAGTACAGTGACAAATAAACGATTTCAAGTATCCTCCTGAGATAGGGAGAACTGAGATAGATGTTGCCAGCAGGCACTGATCCACCTGTGGTGGTGGAAGGTTGGGGGATTCATGGGGGAATGACAGATCTGGAAAGTTACAGCGTGGCTTTTCTAAAATGACACAGCCAAAGATATTCTAGAGATTATCCTCCAAAAACTCGGTGGTCAAGGGCTTAATTACTTAAATAGCGGTCAAATGTCTGCTTGTTATCAATCACCTATTGCCAGTTGAACTGCATTAATGAGGGTTTCTTGATAAAAGCTGCCTTATCATCCGGAACTGAGATACCCAGCCTAATGTGCTCCAGCAAGGCTTGAGGAAATGCTCCTCTTAGCAGCAAAGGAGACGATTTGTCGCTTTCCTGAATTAGCCTGAGTCAAATGGATGGTCAGACCCTCCAGAAAGGAGCAATTTCTTTCACTGCTTGTGTTAAAGGAGTGCTTTATCCATGTGTCAGAAAGCATTCTGGCTGTCTTGCAAGAGTTTAGAGTCCAACCAAACACACCTTGGTGGCCATTTGCAGTGGCCAGGGTTGAAGGTCACAGGGCAGGGTCACTGCACCCTGAGGGGATAGCACTGGGTTTCACTGTACATCCTACCGCCATAACCACTTACCTCCTTGGAAAAAATGGGTTGGAAATGGTATTTAACATTGTTGATGACAATTTTTCCAGATTTATTACCTGTTTTTTGTTCCCTGTTTGGCTGCCTGCTCCCCTTCCATCTGCCAGCCCTGTAATCCACCTCCTCTTATCTCAGCACAGTTCGCTCCACCTCTTGCTCATTTTTGTTTTATTGCCCAGCTAATCTCATTCTCCTGCTTTTCCTGACACTGCTCCCCTCTCCCCATCTGTGGAGATTAAATCACTTTTCCTTTTGTTTGATGCCGCTCAACATTCCCCTATTTCACTCAGGCTTTGGGATACTTCCAGGCACTTTTGCTGTTGTTGCACACATCCATTTTCCTGGCACAAAAAGGCCAATCAGCATCTGATGGAAGCGTTACCGAGTCCTCGTTTCAACCAGTTCTCAGAGATGTCCTGAATGTGAAATGGAGCTGAGCCCAGCCTGCACAGTGCAGCAGAGGCAGGTGTGTGTGTCAGGAACTCCAGGAGCATCCACAGGGTGCTCAGGGCAGCTCTAGAGTGGTGACAGAACCTGGCATCTGAATATTAGCCAAGAAAACCCGAGATCAAAGGCATGGGGTGAAAAATCTCCAAGCAACCAAAATGTGAAGTTTTGGAAGTGGTTTTCCGTATTGCTGGTGATGTATCAGTGTAGTTAACCATCATCCCTATTTAAATCTAGTGGCTTGTCAGTGTTCATGGCCCCAGCAGTGTCATTCTAGTTACTGCTGAGAGTTGCTGGGGGTTTTAGGCTCAAGGTTGAAGCCAGTCTCCCTGTTCAAGGGTGTTAAGTGCATCCTGGTTTGGGGCACAACTGCAGCTATAGGGGGGGACAGTGGATTTTCATGCTGTGTGTTTCTGGCACCCTTCCACCTTCCTGCACAGAGAACAGTGCTGGAGACTCCCCTACCAGTATTTCCTCCTCCTGTGTGACTGTGCAAGTCCACTGACTGCACTGCTGCTCGTGTTGGCTCAGAACCGGAACCAGCAGAGCCTTTAACCCCCTGGCAAACCCTGGACAATTTCAAAATCCCTTGCAGGGACCACATGCACTGCCAGGACTCCTCACAGCTGGCAGTCGCTGTTCCTTCTCGCTGTGAGCACCCCAATGTGTTTGCTACCAGAACAAACCCTAAAGTCTTCAAATAACCCCCCTTTGAGTACATGGGAGATGCTTCCCTTAGCAAGGACAGCTGCTGTTTGGCCCTAATCATTGAGTTTAGATGTTTATTTTTATTCTGTTTGGGTTGTATCTCTTGCCTTAATCTCCACTTGCAATGCTAACCATGATGCATTTGCTATATGTCCCCTCACTACTTTTATCTACCAACATGTTTTAAATAGGTTTAAAGAGTACAGGAGCTAAAAAAAAAAAAATCAGGCAGCTTCAGATGAAAGCCAGCAGCAGGCCTTTAAAAATAGAGTGGCAGCCCTGCACGAGGTGCCGAGTAAGTGGGTGCACGGGAGGGGAGCGGAGTGGCTGCAGAGGCTCTGTTTAAACAGGAGGTAAATAAGTGGCTGGGGGAGCTGCAGTTCATCTTGTTCCCTTACGTGTTGCCCAGATAATGCAACATATCTTGAGGCAGGCTGGTTCTAAAAATGGACACAGCTCTTGGGTTTCACTGGGTGACGCTCAGGCTGCGCTGTCCTGCAGTCTGCGGTGAAGCGTCCGTGGGAGCAGTGAAATGGCATTTAGTGTTTCAAAAGTAGCAGCAGTGCTCAGGTCTCGTCACTGGTACTTTATGAAGACTTCTATAATGAGGAATGTGTGACTTTATACCATGGTGCCTAATGCAGAAGCAGCTGCCTGTAAATCCCTGGGGTCAGGCAATGTTTTGTTAAAATTCCCCTTCCTGCTGTGGTTGACCTGTGAAAACAGCAATCATCTGACAGTGACAGCAGCACTTAATTAGTAATTCAGGATTAAAGTGTTCTGTCCAATGAGTAATTTCACAGAAGCAGAGTTTAGAACTGGAGCAGGTTTAATATAACAAAACTATTGTCATGAAAGCCTCCTTGGCATTTTAATGGTGTTTTTCTTTGATCTAAATATACACGAGAAGTTGAGAGGATGTTTAAATCCGAGCAGGGGATAAAAGGGACCAAGAGAAAGACTCAAAAGTCTTGTCCAAACTCCACACAGTTGTGTGAGCCACTGGCTTCCCTAGGACAGGGCATCATCCCAGGGAGCTGCACTATTCACCATTCCTCTCACTGCTCCAGGAGTGTTCCTGTCTTTATCTTCCTTCTCACCCTCCTCTCTTTTGCGTAGTTGAGCACAGCTCAGCTGTGCAGAGGATGAGTATTTGTTAACCTCCAGTGGCTGCAGTAATGGTCAACTGGCCCTTCCGTGCTCCCAAAGAGACTGTGTTTGGGTTGGGCATATGCTGCTCACTGACATGGAGAATTCTCCATTTCTTTCTAAATGAGTCTTCTCAGGCTGTCCCTGTTCAGCAAATTCAGGAGAGAAAGGGCAGCAGGGCCCCTTGACCAAACCATGTTCTGTAGAAGGTAGCAGAGAGTGCAGCCTTCCCTGTGGGAATAAAGTGATCCTCTGTTGAGTGAAGTGTTGCCTACAAGGTTAATTAGCTGTAGAAAATGAGCTCGAATACTTAGGAGTAATGAATCATAATGAATCGTTATGTTTGAGGAGTGACAAATTCATGCATATTTTGGACTACTTGTTTTAGTCAGAATGGAAAATAGTGCAATGCTTTTTTCTGTTGTTCTGCCTTCATGCTGAGATGTCAGGAAGCAAATCAACATGGCCAGAGTTTGTAAAGTCTGGCAATGCTTGATTGCACAATATTTAATCTCTCTCCTGAGTCTTTGAGCTGGGCTAGGAGCAGGAGCTCCTCTGGAATCAATACATTTGCCTCCACCTTCAGTAGATGGGATTTTGACCTGAAAAAACACAAAACTTCTCCTAAGCTAAAAGAGAAAAAAAAAAAAGTTGTGTTGTCCTAATCCTGTGAGTGGTAGTGTCCTGTGGCAGCTCTGATTGAGGCGTAGCACCCTCATCTAGGAAAGCAGATTGAATTATAGCTCCACCTCCCATACCAAGGTGAGTCAAGGGACCTATTTGTGGCAAGATTCATCAGATCCTTCAGCTCCTGCTGTTCCCAGAAGAATCTCTGGAGTTTTTCTATGGAATTAGATCCAGCAACATAACAAGCTAAGGGGCAGACAGACATTGTAACCCTTGAAATACCTGGAAAGTAAGGATAAGCAAGCTACTCCTACCTGGAAGATAACTTCTGGAATCTCAATGTAAGATGAAGGACATTGTGAAAAAGAGGGTCTTGATAAGAGGAATTTGTTCTTAGCCCCTTTCAAGAATCATAACATATCCCTAGGTGAGCTGAAGCCTGACACAAGCTGCTGTGCTTTGGGGTTTTTTTTTGGTGTGGTCCCAAGTTTCAGCTGGTTCAAGGCTGGAGGAGCTGTGAGCAGGGGGAGGATTTGAATTCACAGCCTCTCTTTTAAATAGATTGGTGGTTCCAGGAGAGCAAGTGATACTGCTGCAGTGATTAAATTCTTTGCTGGGTTGATGCCTCTGGAAGTGTTTGGAGAGATTTGACAGATCTTTCAGTCTGTTGAAGGTTCCCATGGTGTTGGCCCAGCCATGACTGTGTGAGGCAAACTGTTTGTGTCACCCCTGGGAGAAGGCATCTTTCTCATTCACAGAACAAAGAGCTCTTGGGCATTCAAAGACAAAAGGTACCAACTGACATTTAGTTCTGCTACTAATTATATGTCAAAAACTGATACAAGTTAAGACTAAATTAGTGCACTTCTCCAGATGTTTTCACAGTTGCCCTGCCTGCAGCAGGGGGTTATGTTCTGAGTTGTTAGGTACTCAAACTGGTCCTTCTCATCTCCACTGATGTGGTTGCTCCTGGCATGATCAGGTGCAAACTCCCACTTATTAAGTGCTATGAAGGAATCATTCTGACACAAAGTGGAAAATTCTCCTTGGGGTTCAGAGCTCTTGCAAGAGGCAGCCAGTGAGGTGGCTGCTTGTAGAGCTGACCCCATGCTTCAAGATGTGGCTTCATATACAATATCTGTGAAAGCAGCTATTCTTGCTCTTGCCAAACTCCTCAGAAGACCCATAAAATGATGTTAATTGTAAGCCACAAGCTGGCTCTTATCTTTGAATTGTTTTTCTCTGACAATTTTAAGAAGAGCTCAGCATGTTCTCAGTAGGAGCTGATGGATGCTGAGCACTTCTGAAATCCTGCCAACTTCATTTAGGTTCCTAAATGGGAACTGAGTGCTTTTGAACATATGATCCTAAGGGTGCATTTCATAACACTATAGCTCTGTCCATATCATTTCTTTCCTCTCTCACTGTCCCCAGAATGCTCCCAGCAGCAGCAATAACACCAGGAGCACTGGGCTAGTCAAGGCTTGAGTGATGCCTCAGTCATGATGTCAGCTCAAGCCACACTGAACAGAATTAAATGACAGCAGTTAAAAGGTGCCTGTCTGCATCCAGTCTGCAGTAAGGTCACCATCATCACTACCAGCATTATGGGTATGTTTGAGATAGCTGTGGTAGATTTTTTATGGATGTATATGAAAACAAAAATCTAGTGCAAATTCTGCCTTGTATTTCAGAGTATTTCATCCCATGTTTCAGGCCATGTGCACTCTACTCGACAATGCTCTGACTCTCAATTTCAGGATTCAAATTTTCTCCTAAGTAGGTTCTTGGGGCAGATATAATGAATATTTTTTAGTGTTTGAGAAGCAGAGTAGGAGGGCAGACGAGCCTTTATCTGAAGCTTTTCCAACAGAATTAGTGCATGGACAGCATCTGTTTTGGTCCTGTGAGGCTGACATCCTCTCCCAGCAGACTTGGCAGGGAGCAGAAGAACCACATGTCAAAAAATCTGGGGGGCCCATGCGCTGTGGACAAAAGTATGGCAAAGAATTTAAACATCAGTGAGTGGAGTGATGCTGGAGGGCTGGCTGAAAGCGATTAGCACAGTGCTCTGGAATGCGGCGTTTCAATAGCGGCTCCAGAAGGATCTGCAGCCCCATTGACTTCTGCAGCGTCAGGAAAGAGCCCTCACACTCCAGCTTTTTGCCAGTGTGAATGGGAACGTGCAGGGCTGTGTGTGCAGCAATCACAGAGCTCCCTGCTCTGGTTCTGCACACCCTGCCCCGTGTCCTGCTGATGGGGGGTTTCCTTTGCTCCACGGGAACCTGATGCCCCAGTGACTCAGGTGGCTCTGGGTCCTCGTGCATTGCCAGAACCCCCCCTTGTCAAATCTGCATCAATATCAGCTGTAGCTTTGCTGTTTGCCCACCCTGGGCCAAAGGCACCAAAGGCCACCTGTGGCCACGATCCAGCTGTTGTCAGCTGTGCAGTTGGGTGGTGTGGGGCTTGGGTGTTTTGTTGCCACGTGTGTCAGTGTGGGGCTTGGGTGTTTTGTTTCCACTGCTGCTGGGTTTTGGCCTCTTTGGGAGTGCACCAAGTGGGACTAAGCTTGTGTCTTTGGTCACATTCACTTGTTTAATTTTTTTCTTTATGTTTTCCTTCCCCCTCCCTTCTGATTTCTAGGTAGATAATCAAAGTGTGAAATAAATTAAAAATAAAGCTGGGTAGAAGGCCTGGCTGATGAGAGCACATACATTTTTAGTTGAGGTGGGAGAAGAACGTGCTCATTCAAGCCCTCATGGAGGGCAGGGAATTCCCTGGCTTTTGTCTAAATATGGCATGCGAGAGCGGAGCACAGGCAGTGCAATGCTTCACTGAGTATTGTTTAAAAGGGAGCTTGGCAGTGGCCAGCAAGTAGGATTCTTGTGAAAACATGGCACAAGGAGTTGTTTGACAGATTCTGACATAGCAAAGTCTTTACAAGGGGCAAAAAAAAAAGAAGAAGGAAAAGAGAGAAACTGCAGAGCACATGAAGCCAAAAGCATAGTCTCTGCCTCGAAGATTGCAGGATAAAAGGCACTTAGCACTGGGTCACACCCTGCAAGCTCTGTGGGTCTGATCCTCTCAGTGATCGATGGCACTGAGTTAAAATCCACTCCTAAATGATTGCCTGTTGTCAGTCACCCAGAAGAGGGGATGAAGAAGAGTGAGAGCTGGGGAGGAGACTGTCATGGCTTGCACCCACTCACCAGAATCTCTGTCTCAGACTTGCCTGGTTGGATGGACCCATTCTCTACCATCTCATGTTTCCCCTGCGGGTAAATGGCATTGCATTAGCAGGTTTTTGGATGCAGGACTCAGTCCCAAGCAATCCCGTGGTTTGTGTGGGTGTCTCCCTTTTGCAAAGCTTATGCTAAGTTGTGGCTTTGAATATCTATTTCAGCAGTGAGCAATGATTCCTGCCTGGAAGAAAACCCCTCTCCCACTGCCTCTGCCACGTCTGGAGACATTGTGAGTCCCTCAGAGCAAAAAGGCCTTTACACATCTCAGCAATGGAGAATTTTACCTCCAAAATTCCAAGTCTGCTCTTGAAATATGGCCATTATGTGAGTGTGTTTTGAGAGAGGGAAAACTTACCTGGGATTCAGTGCACTTCTGGAGGTCTCAGATGGAGACACCTCACTCGGTGACTCTGCTACTGACACCAGCTACTGAACAGACTGTGTAGCTCATACAGAGGAGGTCTTGGCTCAGGCTTCCCCTTTTAAAGTGGAGCCCTCCCCTAAATTCACCTTGAATGCAACATCCATGCTCAATCACAGCTGGAGCTTCCTCACATCAAAGATAAGACACTCTTCCTCTGGTTGGTGGTTTGGATGGTGTCCTGCAATGTAAACTAGAATGATAGGAGTAGTCTGTAATTAGCACATAACCTCAGGCAGTTTTGTTCCTGAAATGCAAGGCCTAAGTTGTTCTGCTGCAATAGTGTTGGTTTAGTGAGTTCATTAACTGCTCAGCATCATGTCAGTGAAAGCTGTTCCCTAAGAGCTGCAAAGGTATGGAATAGGAACCAGGAGTCTCTGATCCAGTCCTGCAGGCATCTTCCAGTGAAACCGAAGGGAAACCCATCATATGTGTTGCCCATGAGATGCACTCCATGGCAAAGCAACGAAGCCCAAGAGTTTCTGGATCATCTTAGGAAAGCTCGGGGGAGAGCAAAGGCAGGGCAGCACTCCCCCACCCTTTTTGAACATTTCAGTTGATGTTGTTAATTGTGGCGGAGCTGCTGCAAATATTTCGGAAAGCAAATATTTGATGTCCCCATCCAGCAGAAAATAAGTCGAAGGACCAACCTCCTGCCACTCACTTGGTCACTGCAACAAAACCGGGGCTGAGAATCAACAGCAACGATGCTGAGCTTTTGTGGTCACCTCCTCTCCAAACAAGGACTGTGATGTGAGAGCAAACAACACCTGCTCGGAGGAGCTGGGCACGGGCTGAAAGGGAGCTGGTGGGCAGAGGCTGTTTGTGCAGCACTGGGCTCCGGGGTGGGGCTGCTGGCAGAGGCAGGAGGAAGATGATATCTCCATCAGCCCGTGCTAATGTGAGAGGCAGAAATGGGCGAGCTCCTGACTTCCCTGTGCCCCGGCTGGTGAGTGATGGACAGGGACGACTCCGTGCCTGCCAGGAGGAAAGCCCTGGAGTGGGACTGCCCTCCAGCCAGTCCTGCTCTTGGCTGGGGTGTGGGTCACATCAGAGGACAAATCAAAGGGTTGTCACAAGGAGAAAATTGGGCAGCTCCTTCTCTGGCGGAGGCAGCAGATCAGTCACCACTCACATCTCTGCCCAAGTGTGAATTCTCCAAGGAAGACCAATATCCCTTTGCCCTAACTGGAAAGCAGGGGAGATGGCACGTACTTCACATGCTCTGGCTGGGCCCAGATACCCAATGTGCAAGTGATCTGCCTTTGGGTGCTGCTTTTTTTCTTAAACTTTTTTTTTTGTTGTTTTTAGCCTTCTAAAAACAAACTTCGGATTCATCAGCTGGAAGTGATCTCATCACATTAAAGATTCACTTTCCTGGGAAACTGAACTTCTGGTTTAATCATGGGAAAGTCTCACCTTCCCTTTTTTATTTTCTTTTAACTGAGTTTTTATTGAAATTAGCTTGGCAGACCAACACCTCAGAACCAAAGACACAAAAGAAACCCCTTTGTTACTACTATTTTTTTTTAATCTCTTGATTTTCTTACCAATCTCGTGATTTTGGAGATAGCAAGTGATATTTGGATATTTAAAGACACATATTCAAATCTATAAAGTAGGCAGGCTCCCTCATAATACATTTTACCAACAGTCTGTTTATCCCACCGCTGGCAAAAAAATAGAAGCAAACCCCAATAATTAATTGCTACTCTGTCTTTAGTACTGTTCTTTGAACTGCAACACTTTTTGTTCACTCCTACTCTTTTTCTAGCTCTTACAAATGCTCTGCACAACTGGAAGGTGGCTCAGCAAAGCCCAGTGCAGTATCTCTGTAGCCAAGCAAGGACAGACTTGGCTCCTCTTCAAAGGGAGCTTTTATCGAGTGTTTAGTGTGATGTGACAAAGCAGGGAAGTGTGCCATGGATGCAATGCTTCCAAATCCCCACCTTCTACCTTGATTGAACTTGAGAACAATTATCCCTTGCCAGGGTGATGAGCCCTGCCAACGTGCATCTTGTTTACAGCTGTGCTCAGTTTTTAACATATTTTCCTGGTTTGGACTAGGACAGCACGATTCTGCTTTATGACCTGGACAAAATCCATTTAAAATCTCAAGTTTCTCGTATTTTACCACAGGAACCAGAATGTGGTGGTTTGGGCTGGCAGCCCCAGTGCCCCAGGATGACACTGCTCACGTGTGCAAAGTGACGCCTGGGCCCCAGCAGACCTGCAAGGTATCACTGTCAGTGTGGGAAAGCTTTGGATGGGGCCAGTAGAAACTAAAAAGATTTATTCTGGGATTATTTTATTGTGCTTGGAACAAGCATTTACTGTCTGGTGTGACTGAGCTTTAGACGCTGCTGTAAATTCCAGATGAAAATTGCACAGCATTTGCCATTCCGTTTTGCCCTATTTTATTTTGTGTTTCCTTTTCATCCCTAGATTCTGCTTTATTCTGAATTCTAATGAATTTAGATCATTGGATTAAAGTCTTATTATAAAAAAGCAAACAAAAACAAACAAAAAAAACCCAAAAACAAAAACAACAAAAAACTCCACACATTTTGGCCAAAAATATTTGGCTGAACATTTTTATTTTACTAATTTCCCAATTGCCTATAGCAGTCACTTTAAAAATATCTGCACCCAAACCTAGTTTTACTTGAAAATATCCTCTTCCTTTTCTCTCTCTCTCTTTTTTTTTTTCTTCACAAGAACCAGGCCAGTTTTGAGAGAAACTTTAACATGAAAAATGCACATCAGCACCCTGAGAAATTTCCATGTTTGGCTTCGAATCTGTCAGGTTACATGGAGAAAAAAATATGTTGTAAATTTTCTTGTTCTGTCACTTTGTAGTTTGGTGGTTTTGCCTTGCCGTTTAGGCAGAATATATTGAGAACAGGAGCTTTTCTCCCTGGTCAGTCCTGCTCTGCCCTATTTTTACCCAGCTGATCCCAGCCCATCGCTCTGTGCCTTGGCAACTTACTGGCTTCCTCCTCTTTTCTCTGGATTATCTTCCCTCTTTTTGTTGACTAAAAGGACAAGTCTATTTCAGCTGAAGGAAGAGCCAAGATTATGATGTGGCACTGAACTTTGCTGAGGATTCACTGTTTGTCTCTGAAATCACCCTTGGACAGCGGTGAGACACCAGACCATCTCCTGGTTGGACTTGGCTCTGTGCTGTGATTCCAGGACTGGCTTGGGGTCCCTCTCAGCATGTTCCAGGGTGCAGAGGCACCTCTGAGCAGTGAGGAGTGTTTTCCAGTGAGCCCGTGCTGAGGCAGCATCAGTCCAGCTCTTTGCTGCTTTGCCCACCTCGTGTGTGCAGGAAAAACCTTGGCTCAGCCTGGGCCAGACCCACCTGTGAGCGCGTGGATGGGGACGTGCCTCACTGCAGGCTGGGATGTGCTGCTGGGAAATAGCGTTGGCTCTTGGCCAGCCCGGAGCAGGGAGGTGGCAGGGAGTGCCTTTGATGCCTCGGCTCTGGCTGAGCAGTGGCTCTGGGAGGGGTGGCCCCACAGGCAGTCACAGCGAGGCTCTCCAAGAAGCCGTTCCCATTCCTGCTCACCGTGGAAGCAGCAGCCCACCTGTTCTCCGCTGTGCTGGAATATCAGCCGGTGCCTTGGCTCTGTTGTTTCAGGCTGCAGTGGGTAATTTTTAATCCCTCTATTCAGAGTGTTTCGAGGAACAGGAGGAGAAACATACGGCATATGCTCACCTCGCCTCCCAGGAGGTGTGGGGGAGTGTGTCCCAGCAGCTGCTGGGGTAATCCTTGTCCTTCTGTCCCCAATCACATCCGAAAGGTGTCCCCAGCATGTCTGGGCATCACCCCGCAAGCAGGTGGGCTCCACTGGCTGGGCAGGGCTGATGGGGGCAAAGTCCCTTCCTCCCTTCTGCAGCCAACAGGGGCATGGACAAGGGCATGTGCAGGACACAGGGACTGGAGGAGTGACTCCATCCTCTCCTGAGTTTCCCTGAGGCAGAGCAACTCCACAGTGGTGCTGGAGGCACCTCAAAGGCGCAGGTTATCCCTCCACAGTCACACTGAGGCTTTTAGGGTACGGGTGCCATGAGTGTTTGAAAGTTGATTGGATTAAGGACTTACATTTGGCCAAAGAGGGTCTCTGGTGAGATCTGGGCTTTGATCTTAAAGCACACAAGATATCTGCAGTAGTAGAGAGGGGGGAGCAGGTTGAGTGCTCAGCTACTGGGACCTGCCTCCTGGATCCTGCAGCTCCCCCTGTCTTCCCTTGTCACCAAATCTCCAGCACGTGAGGCTTTGATGCCCTGTC